ACCCCCCCCCCAACACACACACACACACACACACACACTACAGCAGTGTGTCGATGCTTATCTGGGCTGTGTCTCTGTATCTTTGCATTCATTTACAAAGCACTGGTCATTGTGTGGAGTGCACTACCTGCACCTTTCCTATGCATCAATTCATTTCATTGCACTGCTAAATTATAAGGGGGGTTTTGTGGGGCGGGGGGGGTCCACTAAAGAAAACGTGTTTGATCCGCCACCAGTCGAATTACAAGGGCATTGGGAGCCCAGAGTGTCTGAGGCTCCCCCTCTCTCAATCCAATGCTTTCATGTCGTGGGCCCCCCGGGCTATACCACAGCCTGATCAATACTGTTGTCCTAGAGATTTTTATTACTACTGAATTGGTGTTGAATTGTGTGCCTGTCAATGGTGTAGGTGTAGAGATAGTAATGGTGGGAGTGATTACAGCAATCATTCTAATGGGTCTCTAAGTGGGATCAAGCCAGTCCAATGGGAATTAAAGTATTTGGGTGCATGGAGGGAAACCCAGCAGACCACTGTCATACATGAAAACATCTTACATGGTGCAGAGTTGTCCTGTATTAAATGTTAAAGCTTCAAGACATCTTGGTTCTTAAACATGTCAGTCTCAACTGGCGAAAAAGTAATCTTATCCATGATTTTTCCTTGCGCCCAAAAAACTTGCAGCGTATCAAACTATGCCTGAGCGATGGCTCGGTTTTATCGCATGGCCCATTTGGTGCGAGCCATAAAGCTCTTATCCACATCTGTCCCATCACAGAGCATAAGTTGGAAAAAGAATACTCTGCAGCCCAGCAGTGCTCAGCTGCCTCGAGTGTCTGCAGCAGATTCAGTAAAAGAAAATGAAATACTGTATATCAGAGACAGCCTTTAAGAATCTACCTCAGCTCTGCCCCAGTAAATTGAATTACATGTTTGACTTGATGTCAAAATAGCACAAATATGCTAATGAGTTGATGCATTGATGCTAATATCGTGAATCCATGTGTAATTTAAAAGGAAGTGCCGCTCATTTTAAGAATTCATATCAATGCTTTGATCTACAGCAGCCCCAGCGGTGTCTGATTTTTCTTTCTTTCTTTTTTTTTTTTTTTTTTACTGCCAGGGCTGCTTCTAAAGGCAGAGACAACTAACCAAATTTGACTGGTGATGGCAGTTTTGCCTCCAAATAGAATCCAAGTGATGTATCATCAGTGTCAATTCAGAACCAGAGGATGTGCCCCACTCCACAAAAAAAAAATTCAATATATATTAGGTTTTCTGTCTTTTCCATTTTATTGTCATGAGTGCTGTACATCATTGTCATATAACAGATGGAGATGGAATACGTCTTGTCCTTTTTTTGGTAGTTAATTAATACTGACAAAGCTGGCCTTGGGCAGAGATGTACAATATTTCTCAAATGAACCTCTGTGATGGTACTTTTCTGACAATTTTATATATCTGATTTGGCTTGAAAATTGACAAGCCAATGATGTCCATTGCAGGTAATGTGAAACAGAGAACGAGTCACCTTTATTTGTGATTACCTTTCCTGCTGTTTTAACCGAAACGTTGCAAAGAGAGAGGAGAAAAACCAATGCACCAGCCACGTCTGTGGTTAATTAGTTTCTCACACTGGCAGGCAGGTATCGTCTCCTGTCTCAACAGATAGCCTCATCAGATGAAAAGAGAGATGTTGTGGCTACGGTGTCTCACAACGCTTGGGGTAGTAGCCATCGATAAATCTGATTAGGTTAACAAGCTTGCTTTTGCTTTGTTCACCGACGAGTCAGTGAGAACCTTGTGTTAAGCATATTAAACTTACACTGCTGTCCTGGACTAAAAGGAGCGAGACGTGATGCATTTTGGATTAAGGTGTTAATTGGAAGAAGCACGATGCAGTTTGTTGTCTGTGGGCTTATATTTCATAAGGTACAAATCTAATTAAAGGTGTATTCTGCTGTTTACTAATGAAGTTGTCAGAGAAGCTATGGTAACTGTAGCTGGGTTCGAAATTATTTTGTGCATGCAAAGTAAAAGTTTGCATTTTTAATCGGTCCAATATGGTAGGAATGACGAACAGATTTTTCCACTTAGAAATCAGAAAAATAGGGACTCAGTTATGGCTTCCATTAAAGGATCCTTTTCCTCTTGATACTGAACTCAAATGGTCTATTGCTGCCTATAAGTCTGCCCCAAGTCTTTCAGTTAACTTGCAATCACTCTGCTTTATGGGGGAGAGCTCTGTGCTATAGTGTGGTCCCATCAGACATGTTTGTTCTGGGGATGTTCAACACTTCCATTATACACCTTCAAGTGTGTTGCTGACAGTGTTGCTCAGATGTAAGACACAAAAAAACATGACTTGTGTATCACACACATCAGAAATGTCGTTCCCAGCAAGTGTGTATTTTTAATCGCTCTTGAATACATCTTAAAGGTTTGTCTCCGCTGTTGCTTTTACATAAGAGAAGGGGCGCTTAACACCTTTTATCCTGAGATGCTTTCACAGCATCACTCCAACATCACAGCAGATGGGGTTTTTTCCAGATTCCACCCATCGCCTCCTCCTCCACACAGATTTCAGTGATTTGTAGATGTAAAAGCATTAATTTACTCTTTCATGCCAGCACTTTGTCCCAAAAGGTTATTAGCTTTAAAGTGTTCCAGTGGATCCGGCATACTGATATTAAGCTGATTCAAAAATGTGTGTTTTAAAAGCCCCAAGATACGGGAGAATAATGTTTTTTAAATCAAACTTTAGATAATACTTTGATGTTTCATTGACAACCATTTTCTGTCTCTTTCAGATCTGTGTGCACTGAAATGAAAAGTGGAAGTGGAGGTGTTCCATACCTGGCTGATGTGTGTTTGGATTTGATAAGCATCAGAGTCAAAGGCACAGTTTGTGATGTCTGTTTGACGGGGTCAGTGCAGCGGGACTGACCAGACACCACAGTGTGCGTTTGTATTGTGCAAAGGGCACTGTATTGCCCAGACCATGTGGCTGGCTACATTTAGAGACCATCTGTTGCCTGCACACCTGCCACATCAGCAAGGGACTGTAACCATCACCCACTGCGCTCTTCTTTGGTGGATATTATGCTCCTGCTGGTCGTTCACCAAGGCGACAAGCCAGAAATTCTACCCAACGGTCACCACCCAGTTCGGCAAGCTGCGAGGCCTCCGGGTGCCTGTGCCCAGCGAGGTGCTCAGGCCCGTCGATCAGTACCTGGGCGTCCCGTATGCTGCTCCACCCGTGGGTGAGAAGCGCTTCATGCCGCCAGAGCAGCCCTCCTCTTGGTCAGGTATCAAGAACGCTACCCACTTCATGCCTGTGTGCCCTCAGAACATCCACAACACCGTGCCAGAGATCATGATGCCCATATGGTTCACCTATAACCTGGACACAGTAGCCACATACATTCAAGATCAAAGTGAGGACTGTTTGTACCTAAACATCTACGCTCCGACAGAGGATGGTGAGTTGGCGTGGTAAAACAGACAGCAATGACTTTCCATGTCCATGATTTTGCCCTGTGATCGTCATATGTTGCATGTGTGTGACCACTGCTCTTGTCATTGCTGCCACCAAGGGCTGATTTACCATCCAAAGCATATTTCATTGTGGACTCACATGTTGCAATCATATTCCATTTGAAATAGCAATCATGCTCCCATTGATGAAATGGAGATTAGCCATATAGTGCTCGTCATGGTAAATGAAGACACTGCCCTGACGCCACTTAAAAGTGAGAGAGGCTTAATAAATGGGTTTCTTGTCTTCTCGCTAATAGTCATCCAGTAAAATATTGCTGAGCGAAGGTGTTGTTCAAGTATTGGTCCACCTTAACAAAGCAATAAATCTAACAGCTTGTAAAATGATGATCCCAGCACATTGGGCTGTCACCTCAGGGCATCAAAGGTAATCATGAAGGATTACGTAGCAGATCTAGTAAGTGCCACTTTTAAAATGTTTGTTGAAAATGTTACTTTCTTATGAATCACTACTTTGTGTCATCCGTGTCTCTGCTGGGGGCCAATTAGTTGGGTACAGAAGTCAACTGTCTATTGCTGGATGAATCCTCAGTGAAATGAAGCAGCAAGCATATTTTTGTGAGTCCGTTGTGGATCTGTAGATTAGCAGAACAATGTTATCACACAGTAATTCTGTATCTTCTCTCAATCTGCTGTTGGCAAAACAGATTTCTCTAATGCAGGTTGCTTCAGTTCACCAATTGAACATGGCTCCGGAGAATACACTGGCATTCAGTGTGATACATAATGTTTAGCATTCACAGTATAACCGTGTGCGGCTTGTGCATGTAACGCGCCGCTGTGGCGCGTGGCTTTTTTTCTACGGTAGCATAGCAACAGATAAACAGCCTGATCGAGAGGTAGCTGTCCAAAATGGTGCAGCCCACGTTTTATAAAGCTCCCAGTCTGAGTGCTGCCCAAAGGCCCTTGTCACCTGGCACACACACACACACACACACACACACACACACACACACACACAGGTTAATTAAATTTTACATTTGTATTCATACTTCAAAGGACCTAACTCAAACAATTGGTTTCTAACCTTTTATTTTAATTTCTTTAGACTTTGTCGTTGTTTATTTAAAATACACCTCAGGCTTAATGTGACTTCATTCTTTTAGTTTCACTGATCTGGAACCTTTTCACTTTTGCTTATTTCCAGTGGCCTTTTTGTTTGCAATGTCAAATCAAAGAGTGTTTCAGAAATGAACACATTATTTTTCTGGTTTGATTCTCCGCTTAAGTCAGAGCTTATTAATTATTCATTTATTAATCATATACCTCATATCTACAGTAATTATCCTGCAGTGGTCTACATGACCGACAGTGTGGAGTAATTTGAGCTCAGAAAGATGTATTGCCTGAAACAAAACTGAGATGGCTGGGTCAATATAACAATACAGATAATCAACCATTCAAACATAACAGCACAACATGTGCATGTATCTGTTTGATGTATGTGCATATAGGGGCTAAACAATTAATTGAGATGTCATAATTTAAATATGGCCAAGTTAAATTTTTACTCACTTTATTGATAAAATTGTAAACATGTAAACACATAACATTATCATTGTAACACACTGGCCTATGATTCACATGTGATACGTACATTAAGGAACATGGTTGTTTGGTACAGACCCCATCAAAATCACAACATCATTTACTTTTTTATTTATTATTTTTGTTTCACAATTTTTACTAAAATCATGAATCGTATCAACGGAATATCTGTCAAAATAACCGCAGTATGATTGTTCTGCATATTCTTTAGCCCTATAGTTCACATATATGCCGTTTACTGGTTCCTTGCTTTAAGCAGACTTACAGATCTTACTATCTTGTAACTCTCCTCGAACTTATTAGACAATAACTGTGTCATACATCTCTAAAGATTTTACATGTCATCTACATCTTGCAGGGGAAAAGTGCAATACTGCAATGGGATGAATTTCTTTTTTCCTATAATTTATGGATCCCTTTTCTCCTGATTCTGTCAGTGCGATTGGACTGTACATTGGATAAGAAGCACAGTCAACCATGCTATTTTCAATTCTTAATCTTTTTTTTTTCCTTATGTGAAACCCAGGGAGCCAACACAAGAAAAAGGGGGCGGCTTTCTCACATGCCGAGACTCATATATCTGAAGGTATTTTTTTAAGGCTTGCTGCATGGATTCTTGCTGCATGGATTCTTTTAGTTTGAATGTGATGGATGAAGATCTTTTGATTCTTATAGTTTTTACTTTTCTGAAGAACCAGGGGGTAGTTATACAAAAAATGTCATTATACATTTGTGATTACATACATTTGCTGTTACTGCCCCTCATGTCCTAAATTGAGCTCTGGTGCGACGCCCTCAATAAGTGCTACATCTCCGCTGCTATGCACATTGATCCAGAGATTGCATTATCTACTTATCTGTCTTACAGTCCCTTTAAAAGCCAGTCATTATTCTCTGTAACCAATTGGTCTAAAAACCTGAAACATAGATTTTCTATTTCTGTTGAGGAAAATTAGCACTTTCCATTCAAGGGTTGTGCAACAGCTCGAGTTATTTTTCAGCGTTTTAATGCTTGTGTGTGCAAATTTCCTCATGGTGGAACTAAAATTTGGCCTTTTACAGAAATTTCTTCTAAACTGAGATCACGACAAGTCAGATAAACAGGCTTTTTTCTCTCTGTCTATAACCCAGAGAGTTTCATATATTTAGTTGAGTGCTTTACATACCTTATAAAAGTGTTGGTTATTATTTTTGACAATTTCATTCCCTTGTCAAGAGTATTTATCATGCATTTTCTGAATGTCATCACAGCCTCCAAACCACAGGCCTACCACTGCTTCTAAGCATCTTTTCTGAGCAATCTTTACCCATACCTCCCGCCTAACAGTTGGGATATAAAGTTTTAGTCACTGTGCTTCATTAATTCTCCATTTCATTACTGTTGCCTCTACAGTTGTTTGCTCAGCGTGTGTGTTTTTATGTGTGTGTGTGTGTGTGTGTGTGTGTGTGTGTGTTAATGTTGCAGATATAAGGGACTCCGAAGCGCGACCTGTGATGGTCTACATCCACGGAGGCTCCTATATGGAGGGCACTGGGAACATGATGGATGGCAGCGTATTGGCCAGTTATGGGAATGTTGTCGTCGTCACACTCAACTACCGAATTGGAATATTAGGTGACTACAAGCATCTCTGTGTGGTAACTTTTAATGGTGTTGAAATGGGGTATTTGGCTGTGTTTTATGTGGGAGAATAAACGGTAATAATGGTCTTTAATTTCCTCTCATGCTGTTGTTATTAACCCACAAGCAGAAGTAGATAAATGACAGAAAAATGTGAACAAGCATGAGAGAGGGTAACTGATATATTGGTACAATAGCTTTATTTGCATAAAATGTTGTCCTCAGGCGGAAAGCGACGGAAATACTTATCATGAGTTGTCCTTGTTGCGCGCAAGCTCTGAAAACACAATCTATCTCCCCTCACATGGATTTATCTAATCTGTACAACATTATCAGCCTTTGCCATTTCTGACAGCAACATGAATTAAATACAATATGGAGGTTTGCAGAATTCACAAGGTCAAGACAAAGTTTGGTTTTGCTGTGTTTAACATTCAAAACGATGTGTTTTTTAGATAGGACTAAACAAGGCAATAAGTAACAGCGTCAATTTTGAGAGCCTCTGACCTCTGTGCAGTTTTATGAAATTCATTTAAAGAAATAGCGGAGTGAAAGATTTATTTAAGCACGCTAAATGTGATGAAGTCACTTTTTGCCAAGAGAGGAGGAGAGCAGATTTGATGAGCAGAACGCTGATCACTACCTTAGGGGCCCTCTCCGGCGTGGAGGCGGCTGTTACAAGGAGTCGGCTAGAGTAGTGGAGACACTGTGGGAGAGAGCAGAGGCATATTTGCACCTGAGGGGAAACGGTGTCAGTTCTTTTAGATGCCCTGCTGGGCTATAACTTTCAGATCAAAGCTATGGAATTTACTGTCGATCTCTCTTTCTGAACTTGCTCTCTGTGCACCTCAGGCTTCCTCAGCACTGGTGACCAGGCAGCAAAAGGAAACTACGGGCTCCTGGACCAGATTCAAGCCCTTCGCTGGATCAGTAAGAACATTGGTTACTTTGGAGGAGACCCAGGCCGCATCACAGTGTTTGGATCAGGGATTGGTGCATCCTGCGTCAGCCTGCTAACATTGTCCCACCACTCAGAGGGTAAAAACAACCGCCATTTAACATTTTAATTATCTGTGACACTTAATATTAATTAATTCAACTAATTGCACAGCAAAATACAACAATGTCAACATCCCACATGATTCAATTTTTCATCAATCAAATTACTTTCTTATCTGCAAGATGACAATGTTGATGACAAAATAACATTTATCATTTATCATTTTTAATTTTAATTGTTAATTTGGAGTTTTGTTCTTTCTTTCGGTGCAACTCTAAGGAGATGAAGTGTTATGATATGGGAATAGGGTAAAAGGAGTATCCGTTTAGTAAGTGATTGCTTTTGTTCCCTTGTACTCAGTCTAATCAGCCTAAAAGCTTTGCCTCTTAAAATGTGAAGCTCTTAAAGAAGCCCACTGGTATTATAAAGTTTTCAGCATGTCATCACGTTCACCTGTGTCTATCGGTTTTAACTGTTCCCACTGATTAAGATTCAGCTTCTTGGTGTCACGTATTTTTTTACTTTGTTTATCCACCTGCATTGTCTGGTTAAGGTTTGTTAAGATATGTCAAAATTACCAGTGATTCCAAAATTGTTAAAACTTTAACAAAATGCTGTTTTATCCAAGGCTGGTGTGAGGATGAAGCAGAACCAGATACAACTTCTGCAAATATTTTTTGTAAAACTTGATATTCATTTTAATATGTATAAGCTTAATGTAGAAAAAATTCAAACTAAAATGGCACTCAGTAGAGCAAATACCTCCACCAAGGCTGAAAAGCCTATTATGCACCAAATTACCCACACTTATAAATATGAGTCCCCTAAATATGCCAGATATATTTTTTTAGCAATATCCTAAATTATTCTCTGAGAAATCAATGACATTTTGAAAAATCCCAAAGTTAAAGAAAGTGAAAAGAAATTGCTGAATCTGCCCCCTGATCCAGAGCCGCACCAAAATTTAAAGAGTTTTTCACTTATGCATACCGTACCCTTCCACTAAGGTTTGTGGTAATCCATCTGGTATTTAATGTAATCCTGCTAACCGTCAGACAGACAAAGAAGGGTAGATGAAAACATTAAGCCTGCTTAACTATATCCAGAATACAATATCCATTGGTGTCTGACATCCTCTGAAAAATAAAAATACGATTTGCTGACCACTGTGAGAATTAAAGGTGTCTATTTCAATACTGGTGGCCTAATAAGAACCCCTTTGTGGTATTATTGCCCTGGACCTCCTATGAACCACAAGAATCGCAGAGAAGTGTTTTTATCAATGCCAGGGAGGCTGCAGCAAATGTCCCTTCTGAGGTTTGTATTTGATGCTCTAGCTCGGGCTGCAGCGAATGCACAAAGATCTTCAGCTGTCTTTGAAGTAGATAGCTATAGTTGCTGCTGCTGCTGCTGCTGCCCTAAAAAATGAAATAAATGACAGCAAAGGAGGAAGAAAGTGACATTGTCCTTGCACATTTTTTTTATTTTACCCAGCGACTGCAATGCCTTAACCTCAGCAGAGTATTATTGAGTTGATACATATCATGTGTCATTTTTGTTTCAGATAGAAAATCCCTAGAGACAGAGGTGACACACTGCATATAAACAAAATCCGAACAAGCGGCATGTTGACTGTATCAACACTGAAGGATCAGGGTTACTGCATATATCCAGTTCCCTGCACAGACCCCCTCCATCGCACACTTCTCATCAGCAGTGTTGTGTGTGAGCCGTTAGACACACAGTATTAATGATTCTACAATTACTGTACATCTGTGAGTAACTGGTGTAGAGAAACCTGCCTCTGCAGACACAAGTGATCATTAATTCACTCTCAGCAATGACACCACATCAAACAAATGAGAGGATCAGCTGAGAAAAGAAAGTCTTTTTTTTGCTTTTTTTCATCATTATAATAACAATAGAAGGAATCAACATCCCATTAGTGTTCATTTCCTCTACCAGCAGCTTCTATTTAACCATCTGGCCTGTTCAATCATTGTTCACTCTTTATTTTTTTGGCCAGTATTCTCTTTGTAGCTTTGATTTTATTGTTAACAGCAGTTAATGTCAAGTGAATAATTAGCTTCGATGCCGTTCAGAACGCTCTTAACAACAATGATTTGGTAAACTAAACCAATAACCATGATTTTCTGGGCCTTTGTCTTCCCTTTCTGAATGTCCTCTTCCAAGGTTTGTTCCACAGAGCCATCATCCAGAGCGGTTCGGCCCTGTCCAGCTGGGCCGTCAACTACCAGCCGGTCAAGTACACTCGCATGCTGGCCGAGAGGGTCGGCTGCAACGTGCTCGACACTGTGGACATGGTCTCCTGCCTGCAGAAGAAGAGTGCCAAGGAGCTGGTGGAGCAAGACATCCAGCCTGCGCGATACCGCGTGGCTTTCGGCCCTGTCATCGATGGGGACGTCATCCCGGACGACCCCGAGATCCTGATGGAGCAGGGCGAGTTCCTCAACTATGATATAATGCTCGGGGTCAACCAGGGGGAAGGCCTGCGCTTTGTGGAGAATGTGATGGACATGGAGGACGGCGTGTCTGGCAGCGACTTTGACTTTGCCGTGTCAGACTTTGTGGACAGTTTGTACGGCTACCCAGAAGGAAAGGACACACTGAGGGAGACCATTAAATTCATGTACACTGACTGGGCTGATAAGGACAACCCGGAGACCAGGAGGAAGACCCTGGTGGCTCTCTTCACTGACCACCAATGGGTGGAGCCCTCAGTGGTGACGGCCGACCTGCACGCACGCTACGGCTCCCCTACGTACTTCTACGCCTTCTACCACCACTGCCAGAGCCTCATGAAGCCTGTGTGGTCAGACTCAGCGCACGGAGACGAGGTGCCTTACGTCTTTGGCATCCCCATGGTGGGCCCAACTGATCTGTTCCCCTGCAACTTCTCCAGGAACGACATCATGCTCAGCGCCGTGGTTATGACTTACTGGACCAACTTTGCCAAGAGTGGGTGAGTAACAGCAAATCCAGAGTTCACGTTAACAAAAACACACTCATTTCCACATAATTCCATAGTTAGAATCTTATTCAGCAGCTCATTTTGCATTCTCATCTGACGAATGTCCAGTGCTTTACACAAGTGGCCTTACTTGTGCAGACCTGATTTGTGTTGACATGCTAAACTCCTGTCTACATTTACACTTCCTTTATCACCCTGATTAAAAGACTGCAGGATTCATCCTTAAGTAGTGCCTCTAATTAAGCGCGTTCTGAAATCCCAGTTCCATGTCTTCGAGCTTTATCTTTTCTTCTTTGTTAGTTCACAAGCTCACACATGAAAAGTGGTGCTTCAGTTTTTTACCATTTAACGTTAATTTCTTATCAATGTGTGTTAACTGTAGATTATGTGTGCTTCCCCTTGTTGTGACAGATTTGATGACACCATATATGTTGAATGTGTAAAGCCGTACAAATCTGCACACCCATACTTTTCAATTCTCAAAACCAAATGCTCAAAGAAATCTGGTTATGCTCCAGTGTATCGTCACATTAGTTGAGAAAACTGCAGAGTTCACACAATTCTGAACAGACCATCTAAGGAAAAGCTGTTTTCTTTTGAAATACCAAGTTGTCTATTCTTTAAAGTGTCAGTGTTGTGTTAAGCCTATGTTAAAACTCTGCATGTGGCAAAATCTCATCACGTTGGGCCGACCTCCTGAGGGTGATGGATCTTTAAAGTCTTTACAGCTTCATTCATATAAATGTTTAAAGCAGTTCCTCGCTGTTAAACAAAAAGGTTATGTTAAAGAGGCAGTTAAGATGGACTTCATAAACCTCGTACAACTTCACTGTCAGTTGCGATTTCAAGTGGGGTTGGTACAGATAATCAGTGCAGACATAAATCATGCACATATGTTTGCTTGTAATGCACAATATTCACATATGGTACCAAATCATCGTGTCTTCACTGAAGGTCCTGTACAGATTTGAAGAGGAAACCTTCAAGTTTATTGTCAGAAATAAACTCTCACTGGCAGGGGTGGGCCCAGTGGGGGCACTGGACACTGGACTCTGGCACTGGCACTGCTGAAGTGCCCCTTTTCTTACTCAAAGCTTTAGAGCCAACAGTAAACAAGTACTGCACTGAAATGTGCACCTTGCTGAATCAGGGATTGTTCATAGATGTTGGACATGTTATTGGTCTGTAAATTGTGGCCCCTTTATGGACCTTGGTTTATAAAAATCCTAGATCTGCCACTGCTCACTGGGAAAATGTATTTCCTTCTGGCTTAATTTGTTGTACAGAGACAAAAAAAGTTTTTCAATTTATATATCTATAGGTTTCTTTTAGGTGCCTGTGATATACTGTACGAGAAGCACTGACATTTAAAAGTAATCGAAATGAGACTTTTTTCAGTTCATGTTTTCCAGTTTTCAGTGAAAGAGAGTTTAATATTTAAGACCAGCTACGATCTGATGTTGACCTATTACACCAACACTGACTCAGTGCTGTTCAAAGTGCAACTGAATAAAACTCTGCAGCTCTCCTGACAGTTTTCTTCACAATTTGTGTTTTTGATGATAACTGATTCAAACATGAGTCTCTCTGTGGTGGAGGACTGCACTGCTGCCTCCATATTGAATGCACAGCTGCAGTGACTCTGTGCATGGCGACCCTCGCAGTAGGAGGAAGCACAGCACAGGCCACTGTAGGCTGTTGTGTCAGTGTGTAGGCTTGAAGGAATGCTGAGCCCTTGAGGAGAGATGATGATATTACATTGTGTTGACCTCCTTATATTGGGTACATTTCCATATGTATAAGAAATGTATTTATACTATCTACAGCTGAGAAATATGGCTAAAATTTATATATATATATATATATATATGTTATAATATGACAAAAACTATTTGTTAATTTCATTTGGACAGGAAAATGTCTGAAAAGATCCTTGCATGGCAATATGATTCGGCTGAAAAACAAGTAATAAGTTTTCTTCCAACAGATTTGTTTTCTATGATGTGTCCGCAGGGATCCTAACAAGCCAGTGCCACAGGACACCAAGTTCATCCACACCAAGGCCAACCGCTTCGAGGAGGTGGCCTGGTCAAAGTACGACCCCTTCGATCAACTGTACTTGCACATTGGCCTAAAGCCGCGTATCCGTGATCACTACCGTGCCACCAAAGTGGCCTTCTGGAAACACCTGGTACCTCACCTCTACAACCTCCACGACATGTTCCATTACTCCTCCACCACCACCAAGGTCACCCCACTGGATCCTACCCAGTCTAATGGCAAGAGGTCTGGCAGCACAGGACGTCCTCCTGTCTCCACTGCCCATGGTGACGGCGACGGAGGGAGGGAGATGGGCCCTCTGATCATGCCCAACCCGAGAGATTACTCCACAGAGCTTAGCGTCACCATTGCTGTAGGGGCATCGCTGCTCTTCCTCAACGTCCTGGCCTTCGCCGCTCTGTACTACCGCAAGGATAAACGCAGTCGGCAGGACACGTCCCAGCAGCCCAGTCCCCAGCGTGACAGCAAAGGCAACAACGTGAGCCACACCACCACGGTGGACGAGACCCTGTCGTCCCAGCAAAGGAACCAGTGCGAGGCCCTTCACAATCCTCTCCACGTTTCCCCCAGCTTGGACTACTCACTCACCCAGCACCGCTCCCCTGACGACATACCTCTGATGACCCCTAACAATATCACCATGATCCCCAACTCCCTGATGGGCCTCTCCAACATGAGTCCGTACAGCACCTTCCCGGCTGGTTACAGCTCTGCAGGCCTGCCCAGCACCCACTCCACCACTCGGGTATAGCCTGGCAGGAGACGGAGATGAAACGAAGCGACATACGTAAAACGTGGAAATGTAAAGCTGTATTTAGGATGTGTAGCTAAAATAGGATTGAATATGTTCGTTTTGTCTTTTCCAACGGTGTTAAAGCGCCAACATCCTGCCTTTGCTCTCTCATGATAGGAAGTCTAACTGCAGAGTCATTTTATAATACTCATTTTAAAAGGCAGTCAAAAAGAAAAAAAAAGCGCATTTCATTTTCCACGTTGGCTTTTTTGAAACTTTACATAGCAAGAACTTAGTATAATGTTTATACAGTTGGATTTGTATGGGAAGCTTTTTCTTACTCTGATATCTATTTTGATCTCAAGGGACAAAGTGACATTACAACTCGTGGTGGACAGAGATGAGATCCGAGGAAAAGCCAAAAAAAGCAGTATTATTATTATTATTATTATTATTATGAATATTATCGAGCTATTTTATACATATTTCTCATGGTACATTGCTTATTATAAAAATGTATTTTTATTGTAATTACTTTCAAATGCCTTGTAATTCGCTCACATTAGAAAATGACTGTGGATTCATAACGATGGATTTAAATTTTACTGGTCGCACATGTGGTAAAAAAAAAAATCCAGTTCATCCAGAGCATTTCTCTCTGGTGGTGCAAAGATATAGCGCCTCTGTGTGTGTGACTGCGTGCGTGCATGTGTGTGTGTGTGGCCGAGGGGTGTGCTTCAAAAAATGTAAATTAGGCATTGTTTAAAATTTACCATTCAGGTTTGCATATGTAGTGTTGTGTAATCTATTGTAGTCCATTTGAGTATCCTAGCTATACTTTTGTTTCACGTGTCCATAACTTTTTCTTTAAAACATTGCAGGACTATAACTAATGCTTCACTTTAAAAAGAGAATCGCTTTAAATGTGTTTTCCTACTCTAACCAGCTCATGGTTCTTTTGGCTTGGCTTGTTTGTACAGAATAAACTTAGAACAACATTTTATTTGTCGGTTGTTTATGAATACTGTAAGGTCTTCAGAGGGATAACTGTAATTACATTGTAACTGTATGTATACCAACTCAAGTATTCACATTTAAAAAGTGAGTTTAATGAAACTTTAAAGATTGTGTTTTGGACCCCGCGCATACCAAGATATATTCAGGGGTCATCCTTTACTGAATGGACATGATGGACAACAAGCTTTGAGATTTGAGATTTGAGATTTCTTTGAACCTATCATAATGTTGTTTAATCTAAATGAGACCACTATTAAAAGATCTTTTTCGGACTAAAGACGAGTCAAAAAGTTGGATTTGAATGCATTTTATATGGATGATGCAGGTGTAATGTCTGTAATGTGTTGGCGAATATGACTTCATGTGTTTGCTATAAAGCTTCTGTGGCTTCAGAGGAAGATGCACAACATTTGATAAATCGGTTGGGTCTTTATGGGGTTGTTTCATATTTTTATTCAAGAGGTGAACACTACACCTGGTTGAGGATTTTTGATGGACTTGCTACACAAAAAAATCCAAGAGCAGAGGAGAAATCCGAGAGCTGAAGCTGGAGCATAGGAAATCTGTCCAAACAACAAAATAACGGAGTGCATGCAGAGCAAATCTAAGAACTAGCAGGGTATATTTGAAAGCCAGTGCACGGTTTTCAGTGAAAGCATTACAAAGTCAGATTGTGAAATACTGAGTCATGCTCTCAAATGATCTGAAATACTCCCTTGCAAGTATAGTCTTCACTCCTGAATTAGAGACTTAATAAACACCATAAAAAGCCCTATAGGGCTGAAAATGAAAAATATCTGGTACGACACACACAAATGTCCAACAGAATAAAGTTGGGTTAATTTTGGGATTAAAAAATTATACATTCTTCCATTGACAAATATATTGATGAATTCACAAGTAACTCGAATGAAAACTAGATTGATTCCATAAACTTGAGGGTTTTACCACCACAGCTTGGTCTGGTATTCACATTGAAACACATAGTCTTGCTGTGTCACATTTAACTACACAATGTTTTTTGTGATAACGTCGTTATTGTGTCTCTGTTATAAGACCTGACAGACTACACGTTGATCCCTGAACAATCACAGCTTGACAACTTTCACAACCTGTGCGATTTCGGTGGCTGACTTCAGGGAGCAACAATGTGAAGAAGCAATGGGATCCGAAGCAGCCTCATACTCTCTGGCTTGTGTTTGGTGGAGTCGCGAGAGAAAAAAGAAACATCAGAGAGGCCGTGCATGTTACTGAATCTCGGTGAAGCTTTTTCCTGTTTAACTACTTCACCTGGCAGCATCAACAGCATCATTCCTCTTTCAGTTTGGCATGTTTGTAAGTGTGCTGCTATGTGTCAGTGCCACACAACAAGCTGTGGAAAATGTTAAAAGAATTCATTCTTGCATGCTAGTCTCCTTGTGTGGATACTGTGAGGTGTCCCAGTTGTATTGTCCACCATGATCCAGGATAAAACTATGTCCATTTTCATTCCCAAGACCCTACCTCAATAGGGTTGGGGTCATCATTAGGTTGATAAAGTCTGAAGCTGACATTGGTCATCGGATACAGACATACAACAATGAAGACAGATTAGAGGACTGAGGGATCAAACCACCAGGTTTAGAGTCTTTACTTACTGCTGTGAGAATGATTTGACTCTCCAAACCTCATTGTGTTTTTCTGTCATTTTCCATCTATCCCTGTTGCTCCTCTACTGTTCTGCTCCTCCTGCAGTATTTTGAGGGGTTTAATCTTTGAGAATGTTAAAACCTATTGGCTGCTGGTAGCAGATCCCCATGGTTTCTAACACGAAGCGAACAAGAGTCTGACATTATCATGAAAGACAATCAAAAAGCAAGTAAAGAGAGAAGCACTCAGCCCGTCCTTACTAAATCATGCAGTAAAACAAATACTAAACGCATTCAAGTCATTGCCATTGAATTAATTGTGACACGTGTTTGTCCTCCAACAGCTAGTTCTGTTTGTTTGTTTGTTTGATGGCTGTTTGTTCATTTTTGTCACAAGATAACACATTACCATAACAGGGATGAAGAGATGGTGCAAATATTTTTGCAGGGGTTTCCTCCTCCCTTGTATCAACACATGCATATTATCGCATTTAGTGCATAAATATTGGTGTGTGCAGTGACCACACAGCAAACAGATAGATCACTGGGCTATAGATACTGCACACAGCCACATATAGTGCACTGATTTATAGTGCACCACTGTCCCCCGTGCTGACCATGATATAGGTGCCATTTTCTATCTGATTATGCAAAATATGCTTTAATATATGCATCCAAGCAACTTAGCTGAAAGCTTGTAGAGTAATGTGTTTGTTCAACATCACTTCATACATTAAATAATGACTGTTAGGCGAGTCTTATTAAGCGTTGTCCAATAATTCATCATGTGTGCTGCTCACATCCCTGACCACCGTCTGCATCCAGTTCTGAAGACTGCGTTTACTCATACATCCTCTTTGAATGCCACAAACTCGACCTCCTTCCTAATCCATGTCCTTTGATTAGTCAACTTTACTATTATTTACATCTCACAAGTAAAACTGGCGACCATGATACATATTTAAATACAGTACAGAAGTTCATTAATGCCCCCCATCCTCTCCTTACAGACTAATTGCTCAGTCTGATATTGCTCAGAGTTTTTAAGAGGAAAAAGGATAAAGACAAGAAACTGAAACCAAACAGTTTACCAGTCTACAAGGCTATTTTTTAATCTACCATCAATTTCAGTTGCCCAAAGTGTCTGTTGCTCCCAAAACAAATGCACTAATGCAATATCATGCAATATATAAACATTAATGTTAAATTATTTTAGTTATGTCCAGTTGTTTGGGGTAAAATGGAAAGGCAAAAATAGGATGAGGGTTTTTCCCCAAAAAGTGTTTTCTCCTGCTCCACACTGGCTCCTTTGTACTGAGCCCAAGCTTTGACATCAACTGGGTCAAACATGAGGGAGGGAGGGAAGGAGAGAAGCAGCTGGACCTGATCGTCAATGTCACCCTTGTTAGTCAACTTCATCAATGTCAGTCTCCAGCGTTTCAATTTATTTTGCTCTTTTGTCGACACACACCTCTTATCTTATCTGTGTGTGTGTGTTTTTCTAATGCTGCTCCGAGGACCCTCGGGGGTGTTTATTCTGTCACGTTGTCGTGTAGCGTGTGTGTGCACAGACAAACAGCACATGCATGCTGATGATAAACCATTGAATGTTAATGAAATGCCATGCACCCTACAAATGAATGTGCACAACAACTTAAAAACCATGTCCTGAAAAAGTGGAAAAATTCATGGATAGGGGCTCATTCACATTGTGTTTTTAAGTTAACTTTGTTTTGACAAATGGGGTGAAAATTATGTATAACTAATAAATAGTCTCAGTGGCTAATGTACTGTATGAATTTTTGCATGCATATTACTACCCATATATTTGAGCTTAATCAAAAGTATCCACAAACATTAGTCAGAGCAGCTAAACTACATTAAATAGAGAATTTGTTACCCACTCTCTGCACCCAGTCCTCAGGCTCCATAAATAATGACTGGCAGCTGAAATGGGACTTTGTGACTTTAAGATGTGACCCGGGGAGATGTGGTCTATCTATTGTTGATGACACAAAAGCGGGAGTCAGATTCATATAGGAGTGGCGGGGAATAACTTCTCATATCCTCATATCACAGTCACGAAGTCGCCCCAGCAAAACTTCAATAACTCTGCACTTCTTTCTGGACATGGGTGAGTGCACAGAATTCATAATAACTCTTATCATCTATTATTAATGTGATTTGAAAATGTGGACTTCAATAACTGACTAATGTTGCCTTTAATATGTCCTCTCTGTCCTTGGACATCATGTTGGCCTTGTGCACTGTGGGCGAGATTCGCTGCAAATTTATCATGTGTTTTCATTTAGAATTTACAAAAATATTTTATTATTCCGATATGGATTATGTATCATTATGATGGATTGTTGACAGTGATTGATTCACCCCTTGCCCCTTGTTAATATTATAAAGCATAGTTTTTTATTATTTATATATTATTGTAGTTATTTATTATTTACTTTTCAAATAAAAATAACTCTGCGCTACCTCCCCTAACCCCTTGTAAACATAGACTAGACAGTGGCCGACATTGATGGCCAGAGTCACTCATCATGCCATGCAGGGCCATGCCAGGTCACTGAAAGAGGTCAGAAACTCCCACATGTGTCACTGGTATAAATTAGCAACTTTCCATGAGAACTGTGGAACCAAACAACTTGTGCTAACAATTGTTTCTCACTTGCACAACAACTTGTGCGCCAACTTTCACATATTTTTTTTTTTTTAACGGCTTTGCATTGTTGATAGATTCCCTTGCATCTGCTGCTAAAAGCACTGATGCCCTTTTTTGCACTGACTTCGAATAGAGCCTGTTTCGCTCTCCAACCGTGTGACTGTTGCAGCTGAAGCGTGGGCGTCTGCAGGCACAATCATTTTTAAGGGACTCTAGCAGTCTTCCTGTTGTTACTATTTATACTTTACAGGCAGTTTGTTTAACTCACAGCCTCTTTTCCTTCCAGCTGAAGTTATTAGTGAAATTGCCAGAAAGATTCACTGTGGATAGTCACCCACGGCACTTGAAGAATTCACAAAGTGCAGCAACATAATTTTGAGTGGGGTTGTTGTTGTTGTGAAGATATTCAAATTGCCCCTCTCGTTCATTATGCATCCGCCCACTCTTAGAACACTTGAACACAGCCCCCGTTGGCGTTGATGCTGAGTGCCATGGTACCAGTCTCAGCCAGCTGTGGATGGACGATGGCCTGAGTAGTGACATTGGCTGTAGTGGTCCTGGTGACCCCCTCTGCCACCTCATACTACTGTGTGTGTATTGTTGCATTAAGGTCTTTGTTTGCTTAACATCGCTGCCCTTTGTTCCTCACTAATCATAAGCAAAGACAAAGGATATTGTATCTGCAGCCACAAAGAGACACTCTCTGTTCAGGGCCCCAGAGCCAGTGTTTCACCGCCGTCTCTCTCACGCCTGGTGACGCCTGTGACCGCCGGAGCAAAAGGGCTGGACCAGAGTCAGTTGGGGTCGAGCTGTGAGGTGTTGGTACGGGCAGAGCAGCTTCCACATACGGATGAAATCAGTGCAGAGAGGCTTATTTTACAGTGGTAAAACCTCATAGGCAGGACTGTACATCACTGGTTGGCACTGGGATATTTCTTCTTGTGGAGTACAAGATCAAAAGCAGCAAATGTTTCCGGTCAGGCAGCCTTGGCTTTGCAAAGCCTTAGGTGCTTTTCCTCTATCCCATTTCTGCCAATGCATTTATTAACACTCTGGATATTTGCTACCTGCTTCAACAGCGCAGCTTACACCAGGAGAAGTGCGCGAGCTTGTCCTGAAGTCAGTGCCGGCTGCTTTTGTTTGGACGCTTCATTGGGGAATCGCTGCTTGAACTCTTGTTTATCCCTGCTGTCTAATTTTTTTTTTCTGTTGCTTTCTTGCCTGTTGGTGGGGTTTTGGTGAATGCTCATGGATTTGCAGACAGAGCAAGGCCTTTTCCATAGTTCCCCGACAGGGTGACAGAGTTCCCCCACTGTGGCGTAGATGTGCTGTGTGGTTATATGTGCGGTGTGTGCCGCCTGTGTGCTGATATATTATGCCCCCTCAGGTTGTTATGATTGCTGTGTCCGGTGCATTGGGGCAGTGCCCTACCCATCCCTGGTGGCCACCTTGCTGTGCTATGCTGGCATGGCATTATTTTGTGGCTGCGGGCATGAAGCGCTGACCCAGACCGAAGTTCTTGTTGAGACTTACTTCGCCCGCAACGCTCAGGACTATGAGGTCATGGCGTCCTTGTGAGTGATGCTGCATCAAATTCTCTCAAAGTTTAGTTTTTAATCTCTCAAGAGTTTTTTTCATTTCACTGACTGTTTTCCCCTTGTGACTATTCCAGTATCAAATATTTCCAGTACGTGATCTATGGCCTGGCATCATTTTTCTTCCTCTATGGTATTCTGCTGCTGGCTGAGGGCTTCTACACCACGAGTGCTGTGAAGCAGACCTTTGGTGAATTCAGGAGCACCCACTGTGGACGTTGCCTCAGTCTGACGGTAAGAAAGAGGAGGAGGAGGAGGAGGAAGTAACCCACATAGCAAAATTGTTTGGCCCAGATTCGGCCCACACTGTCATACTACCACACTGGCTAGCCCACATACTGGGAGTGATGGTACTCCTGTTTGCCAGATCTGGGCCAGAAATAAGCTATAGCAATACAGCATATCAACCGAAGGTGACAAAGGTGGCCCAAATTTGTTTTGCGCCATTTGGTCCATATTAACCATTTATCACGTGGGCCACTTCTAGATTACTCCTTGCCAAGAGCACCTCATGTTTGCCAAAAATAGGCCCAAATTTGTTTTGCGATATTTGGACCGCATTTGCAGTTTTAGAAGCGGGACACTTCGGGCTGACATCCATTTTGCCCGGGCCACACGAAGGCCAGAAGTGCTGCATCACTGCCTAAAGTAGCCCACATCTGTATGCTATCTGGAGGGGGAGGGGAATTATCCTGTGAGGACAGGTCATTGTTAAAATGTTGAAGTTTAAGCTCATAATGAAATGTAATTTGTTTCTTTTATTTCCACACAGAATCATGACTTATGGTTGATAGCTGATTCAGCGACAGCACATTTATCACCTGAGCTTTTCTGGCCACATCTCTCTGACCCTATGTACTGTACTCTCTTATCCCAACAGTTCATCATAGTGACGTATATCTTGGCCTTCATCTGGATGGCGGTGTTCGCCTTCAGTGCCATCCCGGTCTTCTTCCTGTTCAACATGGAGCAGACCTGCCACAACATCAACATCCTGGCTGAGACAACCCCCAGCATTAATCAACACGGCTGGATTTGCATGGACGCCAGGCAGTATGGTGCGTTGTTCTGATAATGACTGACCGCTGCTCCACCTGACGAGAATGTTAATGTGGGTCCTGAGAGCTATGAATTAATCATTAGGGAGCGGATGCAGAACTGCTTGTTGAATCAGTTATGAAATAATGAAGATAACTATGCCTGTATCTTTAGTTACTGCTGTTTTCCCCTGACGTGCTGTGCGCGAGCTGGCAACTAAATGCATCATAACTCATTGTGATTCAGCCACGGTATAAGAGATACAATACTTACGTCATGTGTTCATTTTTAGGTCTGCTTCCTTGGAATGCAATGCCAGGCAAAGCTTGTGGGATGACCTTGGCATCCATTTGCAAAACCAGTGAAGTGAGTAGAGGAATCCAGTAATCTTTTTTATATAGTTCTGCATTATATTTCTCATTAACACCAGTGTGCAGAATCACAGAAGCTAATCAAAAATCAACTATAAATTATTAATCATGGGTATTTATATATTATGGTATAGGGATTGGTTCAATTCTCTGATGTTTGTTTCTTATGTCTTACAGTTCTACGTCACCTATGACTTGTACATAGCTGCATTTGCGGGTGCTGGGGTCACTCTCCTAGCACTGGTGAGCAATTGTTTCCCTGTCAGGTCTAATATTGTTATTTTATCTATTATATATATATATATATATATATATTTAAGGTTTTTATAGTTAATACCAGCAAGCAAATCAAATCCAGATGGTCTATTAACCTAAATTATTGTATAAAAAATGTATAAAGGATTAAAAAAAGAGATATTTCCTGGTATTTTGCTTTGGTTTGGTTTGGTCAAATTTCAGAGTATCTCTCTCTGAGGTTTTGGCTGCCATTCAAAAAACAATGGATGTGAATGACGTTTAGTTTATGGTGCTTAAAGAAGTGTTGACACATGACTCAGCATCTCTCTCCAAAAAAAGAAACTGTCCCAGTCACTCTTTATGATCCTCAGACCTTGATCTGAACAGTTTTAGCAGAACTACTCTCAAATGGAAAAGTAGTTCCTCAGAACACTAGTCACACATGAGTATTGATTATCTGAAATAACAGAGGTGCCTGTCAAATGCAGTTTCTATTGTGAGTCTCACAAATAAAATCACACTGTGGTGGCATTATAAATATGAGAAATGTATCAAAACATTTGGAAAAATGTTGATCTTGAGTCCTGGATAACTCCAAACTAAAAGTGCCTGTAGGGCTAGAGACTCCTGGGTAAATATGTCTTTTGTAACTTGGATGAAGTAATCCTTGAACAAATATTTCTGACCTTGCAGCTGGGCCAATTGAACGTTACCTGTTTGCTTGTCCATGCTGTTTTACCATTTCCAAACACATACACAAACCTGACTTTGTCTACTCTTCCATCCTCCATATCTGTCTTACAGTTTGTGTATCTGGTTGCCACCACCTACAACTACGCAGTCTTGCGGTTTCTGGGCAGAAAAGGTATCCGCTAACCCCAACATCTTCATCCCAGTCAACCCCATCTCCTGGCTATGAGATGGACAGTCAACACCTTCCCATCTGTAGTTTTCCTTTCATTCAAACTACGACCTCCAAAATCCCCCGCTAGTATTTCTGTTAGGCCTGTCCGATAACAACATCAGTGTTTTGTATGAACAACAGATGGAGAGATGAAGATAATTCACCCCCAGCAGCAAATCCTCATCTCAGATGATTCTCTTAAATTTGTTGTTCACTTTCCTTTCGCAGGTTTATTCGCTCATTTTATTCTTTGTTTTCTGAGGCTTCACTGGTGCAGATGCTGTTGTCAGATTATGATGTATGATGTTTTATGAATAATTAAGAGTAATGACAGCTTGTCTGGAAAAATCCTAACACACCATCCAGTGTTTACTGATGCATACATGGGGCTTGAATATGATTTTTCTGCTGCCTCATTATCACCACCTTGTGTATCAACAGTGTGTGTACTAAAGCAAGTGAAGCTGAATGTACATAAGTTCCTATCTTCTTGTTTGTGTCACTTACAAAACATGCACTTTTAATGCATTTTTGCTTTCTTTAAATACCACTGTTGAGGGGATGTTGCACATGTGTATCCATTCCCTGGACGTTTTTCAGTCACTGCTTGAAATAAGCTGTTTTATGCCACTGAGATGTTGACCCTTTGATAACTTGCCTCCAAGTGTTTGACGTGTAGCCCTTCTACTGAGTGTTGTTTGTGCTCATTTTGAAATTAAGGCTGAATAAACAATTTAAATCAGCAGTGGTTTTATTTTAACCATATACAGTATATTGCACTAAAATCATTCATGCTGCCTGCAAAGTATTTCATTTCAGCATCTTTGGCAGTTATTCTAAGTGAAAATAAGTTGGGAAAGGCTTTGTGCAGATTTCTCAATCCTGACAAAATGTCATTAAAAGCATTAACTGAGAAAATTGGTTTCAGTTAAAACAGCGTAAAGGAAACAGAGATGATGTTCTCAGCTCATTAATCACAGTATACTTTGAGTCCTTTGACAACATGTTTGTTCCAGTCAGGCTTCACGCCTCGAGAGGAAGCAGCCATCACACTGGATCAACTGGTCACGCAGAAACATGGGGATCAGCAACTCTCCCAGGCCCTTAGCACACACACCACACTGCAACAAGAGATGGTCAACGTCAACATGATGTAATGAGAAGAGCATGTCAGTAAATACACACACACACTGCAAAAGATGGTCAGGAGCAACATCATACAATGACAAGAGCATGTTACAACACAAACACACATGTATATATGTTTCACCACACCTTTAGACACTCAGCATGGCAGGTCAGCAGAGGTTCGCTGAATGAGATCTTGATCCTTCCATCAATAATTTGGTCACAGAATGAACAAATAGCTTTGCCATCACTGAAGTAGAGAGAAAGTGAGAAAATTAACCTCCCTTCAAATCTACCATAAAATTGACTTTAAGGGCTCATTTTGAAATTCCATAAGGGCATGGTTTTTAAAGTGAGACATTACCTGGTCACTTTAAGAGTGTTCTTAGATTGCTGCTCCTCTCTGGGCTTTTGAAACGTTTCAGTGCTATAAAAAAAAAAGCAATCAGCAATCCATGAGATGCATTTCAAGTATAAACATATGAAAATTGTATGACTGTGATGTTCACTCACGTATTGGTATCATCAGACTGGTTCTGTGTTGCCTCCTCTGAGTGAGTTTGCTCTGGATCATCCACAGGTTCAGGTTCAGGTTCAGGAGCAGCTTCAGTTGTGGGCGGCTCCACATCCAATGCATCAGTCAGTTCAATGCCTCCGTCAGATAACACACTCTGAACTGCTCCACCTTCCGGGGCAGCTACAGGTTCAACAGCGTCAGTGATGTCCAACTCCACGTGCACAGGATCTGCTGTGTTCTCAGGTGCAGTGTCATCAACAGGCTGGACCTCACTCTTGGGCATCTCTACAGCACTGGTCTTTACACCTGCTTCTGCTGGAGCTGCAGCTTTGACGTTAGACTCTTCAGACTCGACTGTGGTGTTGGCAGCAGACTGCTTCAGCGAGTCTGATACAGGATGAAGACTTAATGATTTGGCTAAAGATTCGAACAGTAAATCTGGGATTGGTTCCACACTGTGAGGTTGGTCTTCCTTCTCTCCTGTTCCAGCCACATCTGAGGTTTCTGCGACAGGATCTTCCACGCGTGCATCTGCAGAGACCTTGGGCTGGGTTGGATCTCCTGGGTTTGATTGCTCAGCTGTTGTATCAGCATGTTCCCCTTCACTTTCGGCTGTTACCACTGGTTGCTCAGCCGGCTCTGCAGGAGCTGCTGCCTCTGGATTTTCCTTTGCTGAACAGAATGTCGGTCCTTCATTTTGGACATGAATATCTGAAGAGACTTCAGCTGCGCTCTCTTTGTCTTCCACATTTGATTGGTCAACTGGTGCATCAGCAAGTCCTTCCTTGTTTTCTTCAGCTGCATCGGCAACAGGGTTTTCTGGTTTTGCTTCACCATTTTGGATGAGTTCTTCTGTGGGTGCTTGGGGCCTGTAACAGGGACGAAGCTCATTAAAAGACATGCAAAAAAACCTACACAGCATCTTTAAATTTCATACTTGCTTCATATACTCACTTTGTATCATTTATGGTCTCCACTGTTGAGCCCCCAGGCTGATCATCATCTTGGGGAAGAATGACTTCACCGTTTGTCAGAGTAGCTGATTCACTAAGGCAAAGGAGAAGAAAAAACAATATACTCATAACACAAATAAATCTTGCATTAGTATTTGATATTCGGTTAAAAAGTTCAGGCTTAACAGAGATTAATAATGCAAGTGGGTGCAGAGAAGAGAAGTGTGTAGTTATATTTTGCACAGTTAAGTTTTAATTAAAATTCAGCACCTACAGTATATACCCTTCAGTTGTCTGTTTGGGAGGAGGACTCACAGGAGCATTCACTGATCTGCAGGGTAAAAATAGGAAACACTCCTTGAAAAGAACCTTGGTATTTTTACCTTATAACAAATTCAAAACAGTGGTAAATTACATCTTGCTAATGAATGCCACAAGCAAACATCAACACCACTGTTTTAATCAACTTAGTATTTCTTACACTTAAGATTGCACATTAGGTGAAGTTTCAACTTAAATTATACATCTTACAAGGTTTGTACACAGAATAGAGTACATTTACAATCTTACTGGTACAAGTAACTTAACAGTTTCAGATTATATGATTGTGTTTTATCTTCTTTATAAGTGAGAGCTTTTTAAATAGGATGACTGGAATTAGGGGATTAGTTCAAACTCTATATTCCCACATGCAAGCAGTTGAAAGGAAAAACACCAGCCACTTTGATTGATGATACAAAACTAAAACATCTTAAATGGCAACACAAATGATGTCAGACTTGCTACTGAAGCACAATATAAAGTGATGTAACACCAAACACTTTGCGCTGACGTGAGGGGATGGAGCAATTTCTTTGAACAAGGAATGTGTTCCAGTTACGCATGAGTCGACTCAGAGTCCCACTTTGTGCTTCTCATCTGCTGCAGTACTACTAGTAAACAACAACACCTGCTACTGGATGTTTGTGCTATCAAGATAATTCAAATAAATAGAAATAAAATAAATAAGAATATGTAAAAAATATAGTATGGACAATAATACAGTATATACAACAAAAGATAACTTATAACTCATTGTATATGTCCACATGAACTGAACTTATTGGGAAGCAATGATTGTAATAATTACAATTATGTAATAATTACAATGTTCCTCAGTTTTACAACTCTGCCTAATGTGGGTCCATGTACAGAATGTGTGCACGTGTTGATCCGCACTGCCTTTAGGTTATGAACAAGATTTATTTATTATTTAGTATTGACTACAAGTTCAAGATGGAGCAGCTGTACACTGGTCAATTTATATATTTGAGTGAACTTCCACAGATCCGCTGTTGATGTAGGTATCACCAAGGACACGCGGATGAGGTCATACTAGGATGAAAATGTGAATCTGAAGGAAAAGAATAAATAATACAACAATTTCACTGCCCATAGCGCTCATGAATAAATTGGAACACACGGTTCTCTTTTTTTATGTCTTGACATCCGCTCATCTAAAAACTTTATAATGGAGACTGCACTGAAAGGAAGGAGGGAAGGGGCAGAGGGAGGGAGGAAGAATGGCAGGAAGGAGGAAAGAAAGAAATGACAAAGGGAAGGAAGGAAAGAATAATATTATTTAAATGTATTTAAATATAATATAAGTTTGACACTTATTTTGGTAACAGGAAGAACGGTACTTTTATTCTGAAGACAGCGTCTCTACTCTTCCGGCAGTGTTCCGCTATATCCTGTCTTCCAGCTCGGCAGCAAAACATGGTGAGAGCGAAGTGGAGCCGCGTGTTTTCAGTCTGTTAAAGACGCGTGACAGCGGCTGTGGAACACACACCTCAGTGTAGTTCATGTCTGTACACGTGAGTTCGTTTAGAAACCTCAGTAATGTTTGTGAGCAGCAGCAGCTCGGTGTGACAACAACCAACACCGGACCAGTGGTTTTCTTTTCCCCATGAAAAGTTAACAGGACGATTCCCCAAGAACAAGTAAGTCCCGCTCAGCCTGGTCTGGAGCAAACACACGAGCTGTGTGCTTTCATAGCGAAATCCCCAGCAGCCTCCTTCACGCTCAGTGAGTCAGATTAGCTTCTTGAGTTTCCGAACATGATCAACATCGCTTTAAACAGTCTACATATGAAACTATATTCAATTTACTAGATCTGGATTTTCATTTGGATCTGCACCAAATTGCAAACCCTCATAAATACCAGTCCCAAAACATGCCTGATTGTTTGTAAATTCAAAATCCATCAGCTATTTTTTGAGACATCAACGATAATGTGACAAAATGCAAAGATAAAGAAAAGATCCCTTCACCCAGCTGTGTGGTAATACTGCGTCCTGTAGTTTTTGTTTAATACAGCTAACTGTCGGACAGACAAACCTTGATGGAGGTAAATAGAAATATTTAAGTTTTATTTAAACTCCCTTTGAGCCACTAAATCAGATGCCAACTCCAGCCAAATGATACTGGATGCAGGAGATCCTGACAGGGGCCGGATGAGGTCAAAACTGTGAGAATCAGTTTATCATGTGCAAAGTTTGTTATTGTTCATGTCTGTTTTTTTATCTTAGGAATATATGTTTTGGATCATTTGTTAGTATCATGTTGATTTAATTCATGCCTGTATTTCCTGTTCCCTTCTAGAAGAAATGCCATCAAGAAACCATCTTGATAAAATTGGAAGGAAGAAGAAGAAATGGACGGAGGAGGCCATGGAGCGTGCACTGATCGAGGTGAAGTCAGGGAGGTGCACAGTGAGACAGGCTGCCAAGGAGTTTGGAGTCCCCAAATCGTCACTGGGGGACAGAGTCAGTGGACGGGTGACACCGGGGAGCCGCAGCGGACCAGCTCAGCTCATAACATCTGCTGACGAGGAGCTGCTAGTGGAGTTCTCCTTGTACATGTCCAAGCATGGATTCCCACTCACCAAGCAGCAGCTGGTGTCCTTCGCCTCGTCCATTTACAAGCGGCAGCATCGGAGGGTGGCGTTTTCCAAACTGGGCCAGACCTGGTGGCTCAATTTTAGAAAACGGCAGGAAAAGAATATCGCCATTCAGCCAGCGGACAATGTTGTCCGTGGGAGGACAGTGTGTGTGAGGAAGGAAGCCGTGGATCAGTTTTTTCATTTGCTGAGCACTGTCATAGACGCTCATGGGCTCCAAGACAAGCCTCACCAAATCTTCAACTGCAGCGAGACGGGCTTTCAATTGGGCAGGAAGAGGGTGCTCGTCCCCAAACCTGCCAGTTTAGGCTGCAGGCCAGTGATGGGTCTGAGGGACCACATCTCTGTCCTGGCTTGCTTTAGTGCTGCTGGAGAGGACATTCCCCCATTTATTATCTACTCAAAGGCCTATCCAGGGGGAGTGTGTTACAAGACACAAGGGCCCCCAAACGCCCTCTACGGGTGGTCAGGCTCAGGGTGTGTCACCTCAGACCTCTTTAAGAAATGGTTCCTCAAACATTTTCTCCTGCACGCACCAAAGGAGCGTCCACTGCTGCTGATTTTTGACGGCCACAAGTCACCGGTGAACCTTGAGGTTGTGGAGGCCGCTCGCAAGGAGGACGTCGTCCTGCTGTGCCTTCCGTCTCATTGCTCTCACATCCTGCAGCCGCTCAACGCAGGACTCTTTGTGCTACTGAGGCAGCGTTTTGCAGCACTCCTAGGGGAAGGCTGTGCCACTGACACTCACTTTGCAATAAGCAAGAAGGAGTTCTCAGGCGTATTTAAAGGGACGTATCAGCTAGCGAAGGAAGAGGAGGGTTCCAGGATTGTCAAGGAAGGCTTTAGCAAATGTGGTATCTACCCGCTGAACCACTTTGTTGTCACTGAGGGTCATTTAATGCCACCACACAGCATGGGCCAAGCAGCTGACCCTTCCTTTGCCACATCAGCGCAGCAGGCACACACTGTCGGAGAGCTCACAGCGGCCGGACCTTCGTTGTAGCTCATTACTGCTCAAGACTGTCAATATGCCAATTAGTACCTCTGAGGAAAGAGGCTTCCTGCAGAGAACTCTGTTTGTCAGCTCGCAGAGAAGAATGGAGTGTGTTGATATTTTCAATGTAGTGTTCAGGTTTGGTGATTGAGTGATAGTGTTTGAATGCTGCTCAACGGTGGTTCACAGCTTGTGAGTCTCAACATAAAACTAAAGGAGACAAAACATTTTCAAATCAAAAATAAAGAAAACTACAGGCTACAAGTTTCTGCTGTATGAAATTCTGTTTCCTCTTTGTGGGTATTCACTAATTACCTCGGCCAAGGAGGTTATCTATTCACCCCCGTCTGTTTGTTAATTGGTTGGTGTGGTTTTTAAGCAGGATTACACACAGAACTAAAAGGATTTCCACAAAACTTGGAGAAGAACCAATTAAATTTTGGTGTAGATCCAGGAATTATTAATTATCAAAAATAGTTATTTAACATTGTAGGAAGGACATTCTACTGTTTTCCCAGAGAATAATTCACGGATCTTGATGAAACAAACCAGGCACAGTGACATCTGGCAAGATTTATTTTGCAAAATATAAGATCCATTTCTAAAACTTGTTACTTAACACACTGACAGAGGGGTTAACATGTTTTTCTTTTCTTTTTACACTGACACTGTGAAGAGAAATGATAACACGTCTTTGAAACTGTTAACTCACTTCACTTGTGAATCTTTTATTCTTTTGCTGGACAACAGTTATAAACTGAGTATACTGTCTAAAATACCTAAACATTATTGAGGAAACTCTAAACCGTTAATTAATTTGGTGAGGGGTGTCCGAATACAAAGGTATGTTCAAATATATAATGTTTGTTTGCTCTTAGTTAAAGGGAGTCTACAGTGTAACCTCAAGAAGAAAATCCAGAGTAAATGACTTTTCTTTCATTTTGCAGCACAAATGTGTCCATACCCTCAATATTTCACAGTAGTGTGGGTTGTAGTTGTGCATTTGTGTGTCAGGTACGTGTTAAAGGAAGGTGATGTAATATCAATGCAATAGGTTCAACTATAAACAACACAGTGAGCAGAAAAAAGTCAGTAAACCCTTTGGGATCACCTGCATACATCTATAAATGTCTGGTCATCACTACAAATCTGTTTTAATTAATGACACACAAAAAGGATTGTTCTTCATCAAACATTCAGGAAGGAAAGAATGTGAACCCCTCGGCTTATGACATTAACAACAGTTACCAGGAGTCAGCAGTTATTAATCTGATTAATGAAACAGATCAGAGGTGTGTGTAAGAGCTCATGACTCATTTAAGCTCAGCATTTGAACATTTTGTTGGTTTGAATGTTAATTTGCAGGAAGGAGATCTCAGAAGATTTGTTGATTTAGAAGGTTATGGAATCATGTCAAAGAGTTTGGATATTCATTGGTCAACAGTTAGACATAGAGATACTTTAGTTCTGTAGCTACTCTCCCTAGAATTGTGCATCCAGCTAAAATGACTCCGAAGCAGGATGATCAGTAGAGCTCAGTGTGTCGCTACCTCCGCAGACAAAGTGTGTTTTCATTGCTGTTTGTCTTTTGCAGTGTTACACAACACCTGCAGAACAGATTTCCCCAGGGGTGGGGTACGAGCCAAAGAAGAACCCATTAAGTTTGGGGGCAGATCCAGATTAGGGGTCGGATCCAGGAGTTCTTTAACATTGCAAGATAGGGCTTTATTCCACATATTCACAGATTTGTCTGGGAATAATTCATGGGTCCTGGTGATTAAAATCAGGCATATGTAAGGGCAGTGATATCTGTGAGTGTGAAATTTTGAAAACTTGATTGAATTTAAAGGGACTGTTTGGCGGAGGGATACTCTCCACTGAGTGACATTCCTTAGTGTGTCTATCTATAGGTAAACCTGTGACTATGTTACATAAAGATTCTATTTGATGCAGGAAACCAGGTCATTCCACAGGGAACTTTACCACATGTATTATTAATTATTATTACTGTACAGTCTATGAATGTTTCAGAACATCTATATAATCTATTTAAATGATACTGAATACATCTTAGTTCATTTGTAGTTATTATTTTTTAAATCAGTAAAACAATAATTAGTATTTATCACATCTTCGTCATGACTATTGAAGATTTAAGGCTGGTAAAATATTTGCACGGCTCAAACTGGGAATCTGTTTTTTATAGTGGATATTAGCTAGAAGGAAACTTTTAAAAGCAACAAGGTGTTACTGTGTGCCTGAGGTTTGTATTATAAAACCAACAATGCTTCATCAACCTGCTGCAGCACAGGTCAGTCTACAGAACTCTGTCGGTCTTTGTAGATGCGGCGGAGCTGCTCCAGAGTTCAGTTAATATTAATGTGCAGTATGTTAATGTCACAGATGGTGATTTGTGCCTGAAGCTTGAACATTTTTTTAGTTATCATCCACTGACAGAAGTGGGTCTAAGGACAATTTGAGTTTGACTTGCAGAACTGCCACTACAGTGTTTCTCTTATCAAAACATTTGTCACACTGGTGTCTGACATTTAAATATTACTATATAAATATATTAGCCCAAATCATCTAAATTGTTCATGAAATCACATTTTTCTATATTTGCTGAATATTATTTAATTACATTTATACATTTAGATATATATTATGATGAGACTATAATCAAACATCACCAATTATGTCTTTCCACTGCTATCACACCTGTGGTATCTGAAAGAGCTCGATAAGTTCTTCCCTTATTCTTCCTGAAACCCATTTGTTCATTAACATTTTTGTACATTTTAAATAAGTCAAGAACACTGATAATCTTCACAGCTGAATATTCATAATTTAGCACTCACTCAAATTTCTTGGCTGTAGAGAGGACGTATGACTTCTGCTTGACCTCAGTGGGTCCGGTCTCCTCACCGAGGTCCGTCCTGCAAGACAGAGGAAGCAGAAATAATTAATTAAAAAAATATGCGTTCATGGAGTAAAACTACTAAGAGGGACTCTGTGTTTCCTGAAGATGCAGTAGAAGCGATGCCTTACTGCACCACAGCACATCAGAAAAAACACAAAGGCTTTAATATCTGTTTTAAAGGTTACTGGGCTTCGTCTTGCTCTTCTTTTTTCTTTTCAGATCTTTGGATCCAGCAGCCATCGTTCTTCAGCGATGTTCGCACCTTGGTGGTGTTTAACACCTGGTTTCTGTCAACATCTACAACACACCCACACACGTCAGGATATCTGTGGACACTAATGATGCTCACACAACAGTTTCATCTCATTAAAGGATGAAATATTGAATTTGAGTGTAACTTACATTGCGACATGATGCTAATATTTTCTCAGATGTTCAACCTGTTGAAATTATGTAAAAGACAAAGTTATCATAGGCGTTTTTTAAACATCGATACAATTAGAATAGTAGTTCTTGTATGCAGAGCAATACAATAATTCTGCAGTTTCTTTCTCCATAGTTTCACCAGTGACTTTTCCGGTGACCACACATCTCATTCAAAACCAGTAAAACTGCATCAACAACTCACTCAGAACATAAAAGTGACATCGACAAAAGGTTTTCATGATCTGTCAACAACTCCTCTGGGCACAGTTTCAGTGTGGGCACAGTTTCAGTGTGAGCACAGCGTTTACCACATTTAACATTACAATAAAAACTGTTCAGAATAGTATCATCCAGTTGAAAACAATGATTGCATGTTCCCTTCACTCTGAATGTTGTGAATCCTCAATGTGTTTACAACATCGCACACTGTGCATCTTTACTCTCCTTGAGCTCCTGTTAACATTTTACCCTGCTCTTAGTGCTGTAATCACTTCTGATGAGTCTCTCTGGAGACGTGCCAGCGACAATTAACCAGTTCAAATTCATTATGCATAGAAAATTAAAGCATTTCTGACTCTGTAATGAGCCCTTGCCCTGCAGAGTCAATGAAATCAGAAACAATGTCAGGTCCAGGTCATGCACCATATTTCTGTTCTCACCTGTTAAGTCATCAGTGTCAACGCCGAGTGATGTCAGGCCTGCTCTGATCTCCAGATCGCAGGTACGAGACATTTGAACCCGAGCCCCCTCCCCCTGTCATGTTAGATTCCACCCGTCCCACTGCACCATCCAGTCTGAGATGCAGGCTGGTCAAGTGGGCGGGAGGGATGGTTTGACAGGTGCCATTTAACTTGTAGTTCATGCTACATTTTTGCGAACTGATGTGTTCGATAGCTGTTTGACAGGAAGCCCCTCACAACAGCTTGTTCGTTAGAACTCAATGAAAGACATAAATATTTTTAATTTAATATTAAATTATTCTTTCTGCTTTTCGAATGTGTGACAACAGCACAATTCAAAGTATTAGTTAGTATTTACAGGTATTCTTTATCTATTCCACTGACCTGAGATTTGCACACTTCTACAGGGATGTAGATGAGACCCTGCCGCTCCTCAGCTTCAAGTATTTCATGAGAAACATTTGCATCTTGTTTCATTTAGCTCCAAAGAAAAACAGTCCTTTCACAAAGATGCTCTTCCTATAGGAATGAAGAAAAACCTGATCTTCAGCTACCTAGAATTTAATCTATGGTCTTATCATACCTGTCAATCTAAATGCATCCAACCGAAGCAAAACTAAAACAGCCACACACATGACCCACTTTACCCTAAACTTTTATGTTAGGTAATATTTAACTTTAATAAACTTAAATATTATATTATATGAAATGTTACATCCGTGGATCCCTTATTATCAGGGACATTGTCTCTATTAAGAAACATTATCACAGATTTCCATTCAGTTTCATTCTATCAGGATGGTGGGACAAAGCCAGTTTCTGCATGATACAATTAAGAATTTATACTTTTTTACTCATTAGGGTGAACTGACTGTTTAAATACAATACTCACTCACACACACGTACACACACAAACATGACATCATACAAAGGGGGTCAACATATATTTTGTAGGAAACCACGATCACATTGTAAATATAGTCTTTTATTGCCAGGAATTTTAAATTGTGTCATCACTTTCCCAGTTTTCCCCCTCATGTAGGAAGTAGGGCCTTTTAGATGTGTGCCAAGGTGAATGAAATTTAAGTTTTAATACTTATATAAATAATTCTACCAGATTTGATTAAATCTGAGATTAGGACTTCATGACAGAAACACAGTGTGGAAGATCTTTTCTTATTAACCTTCAACTTTTTTTGTTTTTGTATGTATTTATGTTTATTGTGTTTCCCACTCTGGTACATAAAGCTTAAGTTTAAAGTGACAGCTAGCTGTGCAGCCTTGTTTACCTGTGGCTGTCTTCACTGTCATTGATTTCCATGTTAGTTTTGAAAACCGGTCATTACTACTTGATATAATGAGACCTAATGTTGAGATATTTAACTGAGAATGAGGTACATTGGAACGATTTAATCAAAATCTGTGGAAATGCCCTTTACTTTACCCCTGGTCTTTTTTACCCTCACAACATTCTTCACATATTTACTGCGTCTGCATAGCAATGTTTAGTATGCAGTGCAGACGCAGTAAACATGTAAGGCACCCTAAATCAGTCGTGTGTCCTGCAGAGCTTCTAAATAACGACCTAGTAAAACACAGTGTACAGAAGACAGTACAGCCTGAGTACGGTATGTTCAACTGACACAACAATGGTAACATTACAGCTTTCAACTCCCTGTGCTGAATGATGGCAGGGAAACATGCAGGTGATGAAAGCACCTCCTCAAACAGCAGACAGACAGAGGGTTGGAATATTTTCTATCTGTGCCCCTGATCTGCCTCCAATCTCCCTGACTTCATCACTGCAGGTTATTGATTCCTCTTTCTCACGAAGGGACAAATCTGCTCACGTTGTCTTTTGTATCCTGATCACACAAATAAACAATTTGAGTATTATTAGAGTCAAAACTTAAAAATCTTGTTTTTTCTCGGTTCCAAGTTCCTTTGAACGCACCTTTACTACAGGAAGTGACGTACACATGAATGGTTGCATCGGGACTTCCGTTTCGTCGTGTGGTGGCAGCATCGTAAGTGTTATTCGTTTATTTTTCTCATATAACATTTATTTAGAGTTTTGTTTCGATCTCTTCGTGGGATCAGCTTCCTGAAATAATCAGTGTCGACTGTTTAAAAGCTGCTGCAGACGTGAAAAGCTCTGTTCTCCTGATCTGAAGCGCTGGTAAACCGAGTTAGCCTGCTAGCAACCTTTAGCTCCGACGGCTAACGGGATAACTTGTGCTTCTTACTTTGTTATTCTCTTACAATCAGCATCATTTGTTTAATGATATATGTTTTATGTCTTCAAAATAAAGCAGAGCAATCACATGCCTGTTATTTTTTACACATGAACAGAAGGTTTTGTTTTGTGTAGTGCAGCTTCTTCTGCTTTCTATTGTATGAAAACTGAACATAATGTTATATATTATTAGTTAATGAAAATTGGTGGTTTCGTACTGACCAAAGTATCTGATCAATTAAATCCAAAGCTGAATGTTTGAAATTTCTTCTTTAAAAAATGTCAAATTGTTTTTGTGTTGCAGTTTTACTTTTGTCAGGAGCTGCCTGCTTCTAACTTTGTCATCATCACTATGGGAAATTCTTCAGATCTTAGTGCGTTGGTTTATGTTCGTTCTGTTTCCATGTGTTTTCCACAGCAGAGCCATCCAAGATGACCACAGCTGCGAGACCGACGTTTGAGCCGGCGAGAGGAGGTCGAGGTAAAGGAGAAGGTGATCTGAGCGCTCTGTCCAAGCAGTACTCCAGCCGAGATCTTCCAGGTCACACCAAGATCAAATACAGGTCAGCAGATTCGACAAGAATGGTGTTTTGGGTTCTAATCTGTGTGGTTAGACAGGTATTCATGTACATCCATCCAGTGAGATGCTTCCTGAACGGCTCCCAATTCATATTCGATGGCCCTGTTCCAACCTGATATTAATATTGTCTCAAACCACATGTGTGACAACATCACTCAGGACAGATGTCAATACCAGGTCTGAACAGGGTCTTTGTGTTCTCACTGAAAGTGAACGTATGCTGGAACCAAAATACGTAATTTCCCCCCTTTTTTTCCACCTCAATGCTCTCCCATCCTCAGGCAACCAACTCAGGATGCCCCTGAGGAGGTGCGTGCCCGTGACTTCCGCAGGGAGCTGGAGGAACGAGAGCGTGTAGCTGTACGTGATAAGACCAGAGAAAGGGGACCAAGAGGTTTGTCTTATTACAGATGACTTGATGAACGTTCATACCCATGGAAACTATTACTAAAAATACTGCGCTGGCCAAATTTTGCAGAGCACACCACATCCTCATCATCTTCCTCGTCATCTTCAAAGAGGCCTAGACTGGATCAGATCCCAGCAGCCAACCTTGACGCAGATGACCCTCTCACTGATGTAAGTGCTGCCACTTTAAGACTTAGTGGACACTTAGTGTCTAGCCCTCATCAAGCTTTCTCACCAGTGATGTTTGCTTGTTCATAGGATGATGAGGACGAGGACTCTGATGAGGACAGTGATGACGACGACACTGCAGCTCTTCTGGCTGAGCTGGAGAAGATAAAGAAGGAGCGGGCTGAAGAGCAAGAACGCAAAGTAAAGAGTCATTACAGACTAATGTGTTTGTACCTGCTGTCTGATGAGAGTTAGTCTTGGGTCATGTTTAGAGGAGGTAAATACTCCCCCATTTAGTTCTTGAATTCAAATCTTTTCTCATCTTAGGATCGGGAGCAAAAGGCAGAGGAGGAGAGGATTCGTATGGAGAACATCCTGAGTGGGAATCCATTGATTAATTTGGCAGGTCAACAGCAACAGATGCCCCAGACTCAGAATGCATTCAGGGTCAAGAGAAGGTACCTCACACATACACACAAATATGCATGTATGCATAAAATGGGTGTTTTATTTAAAAAAAAAAAAGTCTCCTCAGTCAGTAATTTTCATCAAAAATGAATTTGTAAATATCTTTCTAGGTGGGATGAGGACGTCGTGTTCAAAAACTGCGCCAAAGGAGTGGACGAGGCACGGAAAGAGAAACGCTTTGTCAACGATACGCTGCGCTCTGAGTTCCACAAGAAATTTATGGAGAAATATGTAAAGTAAAGGACTTAGTGTGTGTTCATTTTATTGTTTGTCTGTATTTTTTTAAAACCGATTTCTTTGGTCTCATCTTTCCACCTGGTAGAAACAACTAATGCATTTAAATACATTCTTTATTTAAATGTGTGAGTTTCTCTAGAGACAACAGATAAAATGTTGTATATAAATGAATTTGCATCCTTTGAATAAAGCTCAAAACAAAGTGGATTTGGTTGTTTAATGTGATTCTGCATCTGAATCTTTCTGTCCTTTTTATCATATCAATAAATTTGGTTAAGTTTGAAATTAAATTTCTCTGAGAAAGATTGATGTTGGGGAGAAGAGAGGAAATATATATATTCTGCCTTTTTCTTATTTTGATACATTTTGTGTATTCTGAATGCTTTAATACTTAACAACTATTATATAGCATCATATAATAACCATCAGTTTTGACAGAATGGGTTTGATGTTTGTACGAATACAAACTCATGAACCCTGAAAAGTTATTTCACATGAACAAAGGACAGAGAGAACGAATCAGGATTTAAAAGATGCTAATCAGTGTCCAGAATAACTTCAACACGTCATTAGAGAATTGGTTCATTTCCTGACACAGTTGTGTAAAATGTGAAAGAGTGAATTCTCTTTTCTCCCTCCATTTTAACAACCACAGTAAAGCTATTGCACTATTTAATTGCACCTGAAAAAATTAACTGACACAGTTTGGAATTTATGCAACATTACAGGACAGACCTAAGAGACACTAATAGATGTACAGGGTAATGCATATGTGCGTTCAATATTTTGAGAAGAATAACTAATATGCTGTTTTAATGTGAAGCATTTTTTGTCAGTTAATTATGAGCTTAAAAAACTATTACAATGCATTTGTACATGAGGAAAGTGGCGTTGGTGGAGGGAGAGGGAGGCAGAGCAGAAATAAAGTGGATGTGGAAGTGCCGTTTGGAAGGATGGAGTGTGGCAGTATCATCAGTGGGAGGCTGAATCAGATGTGGGATGGAGACAGCAGAGGGAGAAAGTTATATATCATCAGTTAAACCTGACAGTACAATAACCAGGCCTCAAATAGATGATATTAAATGGACTAGGCTAAGTCTTGGGCATTGCAGACAAGCAGGAAACACAGAGATGGTAACTGAGACCAATCTGGAGTCCTGGAGTCGGTACACATGTTTTGATGCATTGACAACTCTGTGTCAGAGAAAGGACGGAGCTGTTTGTAGCAATAGGCAAACTGGGGACAAAAATATGTTCTGTTAAAACACTGCCTGGCGGGAACTAGGAAGTTTTGCACTTCGTTAAAACTACAGATTTATATGGCAAGATATGAGTGGCATAAACTGCTGTAACACTTCCCTACCGGCGGGAGGCAGCACTGCAGCTACCAGTGTCTGCCGGAAAGAAGAAGAAGACGACGTGAGGAAAAATACCCAAACGAAAGAAGGGCAGTGAAGGCAGCACGGGACTAGGTCAACGTTGGCGACATCCGGCAGGGGGCGCCCTCCCCGTTCTGCCGGTGACAGGGAGGCTGCTGGGATAAAGATGGCAGCTTCCTTTTGTGTCTCCGCTCAGACTTCACTCTGAGGGGGTCTTCGCTTCACTTCCCTCCGCACCCACCCGGGTTTCCGTCGCTCTCCCGGGGCTTCACGCCGACAGTCGACCGAGGAGAAGATGGAGAAGAGCGCGAGCATCGACAGTCTGGGCTCCAAACGCTCCTCGTCACGTCAGCCGAGTGTTGATTCATTGTCCAGGTCGATGCTAAACACAACTCAACACGACACTTAGCGAGCCAGGGGAGTTTTCAAACTAATAACAGGCTGTTCGAATCATGTCACAGCTAAAGTGAAGCCGTGGTATCGTCATGTACTTCTGTGTAAACCTGCAGGAGGGGCTGCGAAACCACAACTCAGACCATCCGGGTACCAGCCTGCTGGAGCTTGACAGTTAACTCGGGCACAGTTTAATGGCTGCTGTCGTCATCGGTTGTTTTCAATGCTTGGTCGATTAATCGACGATTCATATAATGTCTTTTTAGTGGTTATGGAACCCAGATCCTGTGTGATAACTCGTTGTTAATTTAGTGTGACTAGCAGCTAAAGCTTGTGTCATGGAGCTGTTTACAAATGTATGTTTTTACATATGTCACATGTGATCAACCCAGAAAATATCCAGTTCAAGTGTTAAACAGTTACTTAAACAGTCAGGCTGATAAATGCATAGAAAGGAAAAAGCAGTACATATAAATGTCGTAAAATTCTACATAACCTAAATAGAAGTTCATTTCCCAGAGATCACTGTTATGTCTTGAAGTTGCTTGTTGTTTTTAACATGTTTTATTAAAGAACACCTGCAAATCCTGGCCCCCCAGGGACTGTCTGGCATATTTGGTTGATAAGTAACTTTTAAATGACAGTAAGAGCTTATTATTGGTCTGTATTGTTCATTATTTTTGCACCACAATGCAGCAGTATTTTACATCTTCTTGCTCCGTCTATGGGTTAAAAATCTATTTAGCTTCAAGTTATAGAACATGCTGTTGTATTGTGTTTCTGCAGATACAACCAAGAAATAACAGCATTTATTTAATCACCCAAATTGGTATCAAGTAATGTAGGGACAGACGGGGGGTCCACTAAACAGAAGTCCATTGGTTCGATCCCCAGCTCCTCTGTGTGATAGAAAAAGTTCAGCATATGATTGTGTGTGTGAATGTTTGTTTGACTGGTCAATAAGACGATAAATACTCTATGAATACAGTCCATTTAACATTAAGATAAAAACACTTAAAGTGTAATGAGAAGAAATGGCTGCAGTATTCCCTCTGACTCATCTCTCATCCCGTCTTTCAACAGTACGTCCACTTCTCGCTCTGACCGTTCTGGCCAGGCCAAGACGCCCTCTGTCATGTCCTCAGACTCTGTGTCCACCTCTGCTGAGTTTTCCCCGGAGCTCAGGGTCAGTAACGTGCACATACACATAGATCACAGAGATCCTCCTTCCTAATTAAAGCAGCTAATGATAATGACTGAACATGACTCTCCTCTTCTCTTCAGGTCAAACCCAAACCTCCTGCCAAGGTATGACCCCTCATGAAGTACACACTAGAATACAAATTATTAGATAATGCATTGTTACTCAATAATTTGATGACTAGTTTATTCAATTTACACCCGGTATTTATTTGGTATGTTAAATTATATGTAATGTTTCCAGCAGGTGCTTAGAGATTCTGAGAAAGAGGAACTACAGTTACTTCCAAATGAAACCGTGCAAGACATGGGTAAGATGTATTATATGATACATTGTATTATATTATATTGTATTAAAGACAAATGTCAGCTCTATTCAGCTGTCTGAACTCAAGAGATTCATTATATATTTGACATATTTGGCTAAATCAACATTTTTTTCCCCCTTGTTTTATTCCAAAGCCCAAGACATCACGTACTTCTGTCCCTTCACTGGAGCTCTGAGGGGAACAGTGATGGTTACTAACTACAGACTGTTTTTCAAAGGCATGGACAGGGTATGCTTTATGATTTAAGAACAATTTAATTAATGATTATGGGAAGTTTTTGTTAACATAGTGTTTGATTCCAGGAACCAGCGTTTGTGCTGGACCTGCCCCTCGGGGTGGTGAGTCGTGTGGAGAAGATTGGAAGTGCTTCCAGCCGCGGTGACGTGTCCTATGGCTTCGTTTGCAAGGTGAGTCACTAAGCAGTGGAAAGGGTCTGGAATAACTGACTTCATTTTCTATGGCAGTTCAGAATTTTACTGGTGACAAATGCAAGATGGTAAAGTAGTTGATGTTATTCAGCTTAGAGGTCAGAGAGGATGAAGCTCTTGTCATCGCTGCTGTTTAAAGCATGTCCACATTAGCATGCTAGGAAATAACTGTTGCTACATCTAGTAACTTGACCCCTGACCTTGTCGCTCTGCCTTTCTGCAGGATATGCGTAATCTTCGATTTGCACACAAACAGATGGAGGACACACTCAGGAAGTCCATTTTCGAGGTGCTGATAAAATATGCGTTTCCTGTTTCCAACGGGCTGGTGAGTGATTGTTTGCCTCGCTGTCTCTGATGCTGTCGCTCTGCACTCAAGTTGATAAATGATCGACTTCCCCAAATCTCCACAGCAAATCTTCGCCTTTGAGTATGGACAAGTTTTTCCTGAAAACGGATGGAAGGTCTATGATGCTGTCTCGGAGTACAAAAGACAGGTATTTAGAGATGATGTGAACTCATCAGCTAAATGATAAGGGAAGGAGGGAAGGAAACTTACTGGTTTTTGTGTGTTTCTTGGAAGGGTATACCCAATGAAAGCTGGAGGATAACGAAAATAAATGATCATTACGAGCTGTGTGACACCTACCCATCAACTTTGGCCGTGCCCGTCAACATACCAGACGAAGAGCTGAAGAGAGTTGCTGCCTTCCGATCGAAGGGCAGGATACCTGTGAGTGACAACTTGTTCACATTGGATAAAATCATCCTCTCCTGTGACCGTGTTGAAATTCTGCTACACTCCCTTTTTTAGGTTTTATCATGGATCCATCCTGAGAGCCAAGCGACCGTGACACGCTGCAGTCAGCCAATGGTCGGGATAAACGGGAAGCGCAGCAAAGAGGATGAGAAATACCTCCAGTCGATCATGGATGCTAATGCTCAGTCCCATAAGCTGTTCATTTTTGATGCCAGGCCCAGTGTCAACGCTGCTGCCAACAAGGTTTTTTTTTCTAAATCTGAATTCAACAGCAATTTTATAAAGCATGACATTTCCAAAACATTATTTCAAGGACCTGTCGTGTTATTGCCCCCTGTAGCTTTAAGACAATGTGCTGGAGTTGGTAGGGAATGACGCTTTGCTGATCCATTGCCAGTGGATGAAAATAAAACCTGTCTGTTCTTCATTTGTTTCTTCCAGATGAAAGGGGGTGGATATGAAAGTGAAGATGCTTATCAGAATGCAGAGCTGGTGTTCTTGGATATTCACAACATCCACGTGATGAGGGAGTCACTGCGCAAGTTGAAGGATGTAGTCTACCCAAACATCGAGGACTCCCACTGGCTCTCCAATCTGGAGTCCACTCACTGGCTCGAGCACATCAAGGTGAGCATAGTGATGCATCACTCTGCAGAGGAATGAGGTAAACAAATCAAATGGAATTAAGCCCATTCCCAGACTCCTGACTGAGTTGTGTGTGTTTGTAGCTGATTCTGGCCGGAGCGCTGCGGATTGCAGATAAGGTGGAGTCTGGGAAAACATCAGTGGTGGTCCACTGCAGCGACGGTTGGGACCGCACAGCCCAACTCACCTCCTTGGCCATGCTCATGCTGGACGGCTACTACCGCACCATTCGCGGCTTCGAAGTGCTGCTGGAGAAAGAGTGGCTGAGCTTTGGTCACCGCTTCCAGCTGGTAAACAATCACTCATACGTTGTTTTGGGATAATCCAGCATAATGTACAGTGACTCTCCAGTTACATCACTGATATTCCTTCTATCCTTCCTCTCTTTCTCGCAGAGAATCGGTCATGGTGATAAAAACCACACAGACGCAGACCGTTCACCTGTTTTTATTCAGTTCATCGACTGTGTCTGGCAGCTGACCCGTCAGGTTAGAAATAAATGATACTGAAATGTGAAAATGATCTTCAGAATAACCTTTCATGGATAATAATGAAGCTGTTTTTTTCAGTTCCCTGCAGCCTTTGAGTTTAATGAATACTTCCTGGTCACCATTCTGGATCACCTGTACAGCTGTTTGTTTGGGACTTTCTTGTGTAACAGTGAACAGCAGAGGCTGAAGGAGGTGAGAGCTTTGGTTTTTCTGCACATTAATAATGTAGTTGAAAAAGGGGGCAGGATGCAAGTTATTAATAAGAGAATTTATTGCACATCCAGTATTAATACATCTTTATTTTACAGGAGATTCCCAGGAGGACAGGATCTCTGTGGTCTTATATTAACAGCCAGCTGGAGGAGTTCACCAATCCTCTGTATGTGAACTACTCCAACCATGTGCTGTTTCCCGTAGTCAGCCTGCGCCATCTGGAGCTTTGGGTTGGGTACTACATCCGCTGGAACCCACGCATGAGACCTCAGGTATGTCGAAGAAGCAGTCAGTGCCTAAATTCAATGTTTTTAATGCGCCCATATGATGTTTTTCTTTTCCTTCTGTGTGTCATGTATATTTTTCTTTTGTATTTTAAAGGCCTAGATACAAAGGCCACCAAATAACATATAATATCCCCTTCTACATTTAGTTCATACCTCATGGTAGAAAGATTACACAACTATAACATTAATTATTTAATATACAAGAGATCAACTAAATAAAAACCAACCACTATGAAATGTGATGGTGCAAGTCTATTGGCTGGTTCATCCTTTATTCACACATGGATGTAGACTCCAGACAGTGAATCCTATGCGGAAGTGGCTGAAACCTGTATTCACTCGAATGAGGAGGGAGCATTGTAGAAAATCTTTGAGAAAATGAGCTTACTGATTTTAAGTCTTCAATAAATCATGATGTTCATTTTAGGAATTATGGTCCCATTTAAAGTCAGATTTACAATGAAGCATGTTATGAATTGGGGCGTGGATGCCGTGTAATTGACTTTTAGTACTATACAATGGGTGCAGGTGCAGTTAAGAATGCAATGTCCTCACACTTTTGGTCAGGCTCCACCTCCCTCTTCCCCAAATATGGTTACTTCTTGACAAAATGCCAAACTTGAGGCTTTAAAACAGCAGCTCACAAACCAACGCATGATGTCACTTGTTCCAGACTTCCAGAATATCTGACTCAAATTGGTATGCAGTGAGTGGGCGAATTGGCTAATCAGAGCTGACTTTGCTTTTTTGGGAGCGGTTACAACAGCCAAAACAAGCATTTCAGACAGAGGGGCTGCAGCAGTGTACCATAAGAGACAAATAGTGTGTAATTTTAGCATTACAGCTTCTAAACCTACTCTATTAAACCCACAAATCAAAATGATGAACCTCTAAATGCTCAGAACATGGGCACTTCCAATGCTATACTCCAGTGTATGACCATTTCTTTTAATTTTTTTTTTATATATCAGGAGCCTGTTCATCAGCGCTATAAGGAGCTGTTGGCGAAGCGTGCCGAGCTGCAGAAAAGGGTGGACGAGCTTCAGCGAGAGGTGACCAACCGTTCCGCCTCCTCTTCCTCTGAGCGGGCGGGCTCCCCAACACGCTCCATCACTCCAGTGCAGACTTTTGTTTGACCCAACTTGACCCTCATTAAGCTGAGTCCCACTAGTGAGAATGCCTCACCTGGCGCGTTGATACACTATCACCAAAAGTCTGATGAAGCAGATGACTGTGTTCGCATCTCTTAGAGGTTCTGTAGAATCTGCCTGCAGCAGAAGAGTGTCTGTCTCAGACCGCTTGGCCAAAGCCATATTGTTCTCATCCTCCTGGGATGAGAGGACATGTAACAAGAATATTGGAGACTGTATAGCACATTCAACTACCTGCAACCAGTGTTGTTCGTATTTAAAGTACACTAAAATATTACTCGGTTTTAAACATGTCTGCCTTATATGTTTCTTAGCCACACTCACACGTCATTCCTCTACACTGCAAATATTTGGAGTACATGATTTGTTGAGCTGAAGCATTAGTGGATATTTACAATACTTCAAATATTATTTTAACGTCAAATCTCTTACATCATCTGAATTGCGTGGAATTTTTTCAATTCTGAATTTAAAATGTAGCTGAAGGGCTGTGATGTCAGCTTCTTCTAATATTAGAAATAGTCATAGAGCGCATGGAAAACATTGATGGCTTTTCTTCAGAAGCCGATGCTTTTAGATTGTTGTGACCAAATATCTGTTTTTTAATATATAGTTACTGTGTCATACAGTAAATTACATTCCTGTCATTGAGTTTTGTAAGTTTCATCAATGAGTCAGCATTATTTATTCTCCTTTAGTTCAGACTTTGTATTTATATTTCACAAACACTCACATCATGAGTTCTTTTGCCATCTAAAATGTTAATAAGCTGCACACAACAGTACATTCATTAGTCCCAGTTAAAGGTCATCTACTCAAACATGTGAACATTTCTCGCCGATGCTTTTTAAAGCTACTTCCAACTACCATGTTTATTTTTTAATAGGTAGCAGAAGGTGTAACAACTAATAATTTGCTCTGGGTATTTTTTTAGTTTAATAAATCTTAATGATGATCTGTGCCTTGCTCTGAATGATTGGGAGAATGACAAGAGAATAGTGTTAGAGGTTTGTAATTGCCACGGTTAAACACTAAATACAGTGTAAGTCTGGCTGTCCACTGTATGTGAATACTTGCAATAAACACATGACTCAGCTTCAAGGAGTCAGGATGGTTTGTTACTTTAGTCTCGTGCCAACACAATTCCCTCCAGACAGTCCATTTCCTTGGGTTTAGCAGTAATGAATAAAAAAATATTACCATGTGAAAGTTTTTACTAAAATATACATCTTCAGTCTATTTCATTCTCATAATTGGATCCCAGATCAGCAGCCATAAAATAGCGTTAGGGCAAAATCTATCCATTAGTTTACTCAAACCGTTGATGTAACAATGCAAAAAAAATGTGCATTTATGTTTTACATTTAAAAGTTATGTTTATGTTCTTATTTCAAGTTTTATTTGCATTTTCTTATATTACTTACTGGTATTGGCTGCTAAAAATCCATATCACACTCTTGTTCACATAAGTAGACTACCAAGTGGCATGAAAATGATTAAAAGGTGTAGTTCACACAGAAGTGAAAATTCACTCATTAGCTACTGGCCGATGAGGGGTGGATTGAAGTGTTTGAGTCCACAAAACACTTTTGGGCTTTGGATTGGGGTTTCAGGGGTAAACGGAATTGCAGCCAAATCGTTTGCACGCATAAACATCGAGTATCGTCATGTGGCCCTTGGGCGAGAGCACAGAGATGAGAGCTTGTGCACGCCAGCGGAGGCCATCAGAGGTCATTTACAAACAGGGTGTAAATGACGCTGCTTTGAGTCAAATTTGAATGTCGGGGCTTATGGACGACACCACAGGAGCAGTATGGAGGCATTTTATGTTTGTTTTTCCACGTTTGAAGAATCAGTCGCCATTGACTTCAGTCGTAGGCCTATAGCCTATTGGATTTGGCTGCAACGCTTTTTTCCCCATGAAACTGTGAAAAGTGTTTTGTGGACTCAGACACTTCACCCACCCCTCCATGGGCATCGTGGTCAGTAGATAATGAGGGAGTGATTATGTGCAGTGTCTTTATCGATCGAACTCTTTTGTGATCGATCACACTGGTTGATCGGTCTGATCAGACGCGCTGAGTGAAAGCTGGCAGCTGATTGGCTCGCAGCATTTCAAACTGCAGATCCCGCGGACGGACGTTGTGTCGCGATAGGTTTTCTTTCTTCTCGCAGGAGCCGTCGGCCACTTCCGGTGACATGACGACGACGGCGTCGATACAAAAAAGAGAGAAGGAGAACAGGAGAATTCCTTTCTGGCCGAGAACAGTGGAAAGTCCGCAGAAATAACCGGCTGTGAGTTGAGTGGATCGTGTCTGTGGCGGATCAACCGACTGTCGGCGTCACGTCAGTGTTGTGGGACGACGTGCGAGCGGCGGAAGCTCTGAGATATCTGGAGTTTATTGTTCTTCGGCTGCTCCCTCCAGCTAACGAAGCTATTTCTGTTCCGCCGAGCACATCCAGCTAACGCTAGCTACCCCCGGATGCCAACGCTGAGCTGTGTGCGCGCTACGGTGTCGATCAGCAGGCGGCTCGGGACGACACGGTGCCGTTAATCCGTTCGGTTTGCAGCTGGACTCAGCCAACGCTTCCCCCGGGCTCGGTGACTTTCGTTTGGGCGAGAATGGCAACGTCGGCTCTGTACGCCTGCACGAAGTGTAACCAGCGGTACCCCTTCGAGGAGCTGTCGCAGGGCCAGCAGCTGTGCAAGGTTCGGACTGTAAACAACACTGAAACCGGGTGTTGTTGTTGTTGTTCATCTGGGTGCGATGGTGTTTACGACCCAGGCTGTGATTATGTAACAGCTCTTATCTCTCCCACCCAGACACGCACACACTCACTGAAAGCCCGTTTATTTCAATCCAGCACGATCTGTTTGTTAAAGAGCTCTGACACGCCAGGACACTCATGAGACCAATAACTCACATCTGGATGTTCTTCATGAAACACGGGGAGAAGCATTATCCTACAAATTACCACTGATGAATCACTTGTTGCTCTTGTAGAGCTTGTTGGTGTTCACTCAAAGTGCCCTGCAGTTTTTGTCATTCACACACATTCATACAGGGCATCTCTGTGCATAGATCTGTGATCTACCATGCATCAGTCATATATAGAATGGATCCGGTTTATTGTCATGGAACACTGTACAACAAAATATTTAAAAGATAAGTGATCGCAATAAACAGACAAAAATAAATATATATTAGAGCTGGTCAGATTTCTGGTTGTAGGATGTTGCACTCTACCTCCTGAGCCACAGCTGTCCCAAACATGTTGAACCTCAGTGTACAGAATAAAAATGTAGGCAGGCATCCTTATTGCCCTTTGTTCCCATCCTCGCAGATCCCACCATTACAATGGGTTGGTGTCTGTGAACATCACCAGTCACATGCCAGTCTTCACTTGTATAAACCCCCAAATTGTCAGACACTAGTAATTCCACAGACGTTGTGGCCAAGATTTTGTTAGAGACAAACTATTAAAGGGACAATCTTGTTTCCAATATTTAAATTTAAAGATCCTGTGTGTAAGATTTAGGTGAAAGGGATCTACTGGCAGAAATTGAGTATAAAATAATCCTAGGGATGTTTTCACTTGTGTTTCATCTAAATTGTACGAATCGTTCTTTCTTTACCCTATAATGGGCCCTTTATATTTAAATACTAACATTTACATCAGTCAACTTTTATGTTCAGATGCTGATATGTGTGTTTACTTTTGTTTCGATTCCTCAGGAGTGTCGCATCGCACACCCAATCGTGAAGTGCACATTTTGCAGATCTGAATTTCAGCAGGAAAGGTGAGATGTTTGGGCCTCATAATAGATTTCAGCTTTTATTTATGCTCATACATTGACTTTCTTTGTGTTCTTTATGCAGTTTCTTTGTGATGTGATTCTTTTCTTTCTGTTATTTACAGTAAAACCAATACAATCTGCAAGAAATGTGCACAGAACGTCAAACAGTTTGGAACTGTGAGTAACTCAAAGCACGTTTCAAGCTGCTCATTGTCCATTTATTTAAAGTGACATGATGTGTAATTCCTCTTAATTTTTGTCTTTTGTCTGCAGCCCAAGCCCTGCCAGTACTGTAACATCATTGCAGCATTTATTGGGACAAAGTGCCAGCGTTGTACAAACTCAGAAAAGAAATATGGGCCCCCACAGACCTGTGAGCAGTGCAAACAGCAGTGCGCCTTTGACCGCAAGGAGGAAGGCAGGAGAAAGGTAACAGCACACACATGCAGTCGGATTATACAGTGAATGTGTAACAACTCGTGAGTTACCATCTCCTACATGTCCTACAGGTGGATGGGAAACTGCTGTGCTGGCTCTGCACTCTTTCCTACCGCCGTGTCCTGCAGAAGACCAAGGAACAGAGGAAAGGCTTCGGCTCCTCCAACTCCTCGTCCCTGAACGAGAAAGACCACCACTCCAGACCTCACCATCATCACCACCACCACCAACACAGACACAGCAGTTCTCACCACAAGTATGTTCTTTGCTGTGTCACCTTCTCCATCCTCAGGCTGCTCAGCCAGGCTGTTATTTAGGGAAAAACTAAGGTTTGTGTGTTGTTGAGCCATCTCGTCTTTCACAGACTTAGTGGGAGCTTGAGTCCGGAGCAGGAGCAGGGACTGTGGAAGCAGAGGTAAAAATTTCGGTCTCATTTCTCCCACTTAATGAAAACTGTGTATTGATGGAGGAGTGAGGCCCAGACTTTATATTCTCATCTGACTTTCTGTGCAGCCATAAATCGTCTTCAATCCAGAAGGAGACTCCAAAGAAGAAACCAAAACTGGAGATGAAGCCATCCAATGGGGACAGGTGAGATTGATTTAGTAACTGAACTAGAAAAGATTAAATTAATTAACCTGCGTTGATGTTGACATACAACCACTACCTGTCCATATTTTGTTTACTCATCTCAGCATTAGGCTCATGCACGTTCCTTTTCTCCCATCAGTAGTTCCATCACCCAGTCAATGGATTCTGGAGGAACAGACAACTTCATTCTCATCAGCCAGCTGAAAGAGGAAGTGATGTCACTGAAGAGACTTCTTCAGCAGAGGGATCAGACCATCCTAGAGAAGGACCGAAAGGTAGGACATCAGCCTCATTTGACCTCCAGCTTAAACAAGTCTAAACTGCATCACTGTTTGTTTATTGGATGTTGTTTAAGGTATTGATTTTTAAACTCTTCTCTAGCTCACAGAGCTCAAAGCAGACTTTCAGTACCAGGAATCCAACATGAGAGTGAAGATGAACCAAATGGAGAAATCGCACAAAGAGTCCATGGAGCACCAGCAGGTAGAAAAATACATAGTGTTGCAGACCAGTAAGATTAATTATACTTGAGTTGACAACAGCTACACTCGTAGCACTGTAACTGCAATCAAAGCCTTTGTGTCAAAAGCCCATAAGAATCCTTGATCACCTGTTCAACAAGCTTTAAATGTGTAAAGGAGCAATGTTCCTGCAACTGCTCACATCCAGCACTGCTTGTTTTACCCAACCTCAATGTGCTTGTTAAGCTACAATGAATTGGTATTAACGAGCTCATGCAGAAGCTTTATATGTGTGGACTTTATACCATCTATACGCATTTTACTAGATTTGTAAACTTATAGCTACAGACTCTGACATCAACCGCTCTCTCTAGAAGCATCACCAGCATATAATGAACTCACATCAGCACCAGAGGGAGGAGGACAGGCATGATAATGACTACTAAAGGATTTAATTTAAGGATTATTAGATTTTTTTTTCTCCCAGAGAAATATTATGGAGGTCAAATACTGTGCTGCAAGCTTTCCGCTGCGTTCATTTTGTAGCAGTGGCTCATTTTACATGCTAACAACAAACACCAACACTAATTAGAATTTATTACGATCTGTCCAGTACTTAAAGTTTACTTTGTGTTGTTTGATTCGCTCTCAAAATTAAATAAAAATAATCAAAGTAATTACAACACTAATGATTTTATTGTTTATTTATTTTTCCACCTGCTAAAAAAATCTGAGGAAACTACTTAGATTTGTTCTAAACCAGTTTATATACTTTTTGAATTATAACACTAACAATAATATAACCAATAAGAGTATCAGTAATGTCCCAGAAAAGGTGGACTGCATTGATAAACGACATACTATAAAACATGTTGAGCAAAAAATAGTTTGAAGCATCTCATGAATGATGAGTAAACGGTAAAAAAATTCATGAAACTATAATTTCTTCATTACAAAAAGAGAGTAATGTACACGTTTATTGTGATTTTACTAATATTTCCACTTGCGTATCATTTCTAACACAGTAAATCATTTGTTCCTACAGGGCAAGAACAGGGAGTTGATGAAACAAGTGGCTGCCCTCTCCAAAGGCAAAAAGTTTGACCGGACAGGAAGTTCACTGCTGTTACCCTAACAATAGGCTGGCCAGCGGGTATCGACACAAGGGCGGCTTCATTGTTGTAACACTGTGAGAGTCTCCCTCCTGTGTTTCCTCATTGCCATCAACATCGATTTACTTAACTGGTAAAGCCAGAGACCATGTTGTACATGGAAATCAATTGTCGAATCAAAGAAACCTTTTCTCGAAATGTCAACATATTTTAGATGTTTTATGGCAACCTTTCCACTGGATCATAGGATGTGACTTGGGATGTGCGGAGTGGAGGATGGAGCTGTCATTTTTAACACTGCCGGGCCAAAACAAAAAGCATGGTGTGCTCATGTGGATAGCATTCTGTCGACTCAGTGTATCCACTTAATTTTTATGGATGTCATGCAATTTATTTATTCAACTGTATTTCTTAGCTTTTTTATTTTATCACAACATACTGAGAGAATATCCCACATTTTGGGGTTTTCTTCAATAGCAATTAGTTATATTTTTCTAAATGGATGCGATTGTGGAAGACAGGCTCTCCTTAACGGAGACCCTGAGCAACTTTACAATGTATGCAAAATGAGACCACTGGGCTGCTCAACAGCAGAGAACTCTCTCAGTAACAATTCATAAATCAACCAATGAACACTTTGAAAGGCTGTCCGATAGAGAGACACCTCTTGGCTGCCCTCTTTCTCACCGTGTGACAGCTATAGTGCTTTGCTGTTTCTCTTTAGTGGAACGATTGTAATACTGCATGATTTTACTGCCAGATACCAGATGGCATTGTGGTCGGACTTCTCCCCCCCCTTCCCCCTTTAATTAGTTTTTTAAGAATCACTTGTAAATGTATTACTGGGGTCAGCCATTGTATTTAAACTATTGCTTGTATCTGTTTTAGTGAGTACAGTATGTGTATGGTAAGGCCAGTTGAAATTAACATGTCTGTAGAAGATGCTTTTTAAAGGAACACACCTTTCAACTTGCGTTACTGGGCTGGTTTCATACTGTGGCATCCAGGATCACTTTTGTACTTTTTTCCAAACCAAGTGTTTTAAAACTATTAAAACTGGCTAAACTGTTTTTGTATGTTTGTTTTTACTGACTTTTTACTGTTTCACTTTATCAGGGATTTCATACTTCTATACAATTCAAGTCATGCACCCTGCACATTCAATATATGTTCTTGGCGAGGTGAGGATAGCTGCATCAAATGGTATTAAAGACAGTCAACTTAAAAATCACTTTCATAACTTTTAATCTTACGTCTCTGAATTAGGTTTAGTTTTTTTGTCCTGTGTAAAGCACAAAAGGTTGTTATAGTAAGATTTTATGGTCATAGTACAATGATACCTGGATGTGTGTTCTTATATTTTGCCAAACGCTAAAATATTGAATATTCCATTCGTTCTGTAAAAGTTAACAGTTACAGGAAGTACCTGAACTCATCACCATGTTCTTCCGGGTCACTCGGCTTGTCCGCCAGTTAGCAACAGTAGCGCCTACCAGAGAAATAAAAGCTAACGTTTAGGATGTTTTAGGCTGAAATAAACATTTGCTTCGCTCTCACTAAGCAGGCGAGGGCACAAAAGACATGTGTTTACAAAGGAGATTGTAGTGAACATATTAAAAACTAACAATCTACTTTACCAGGCTGGAGCGGGTTAGCATGCTACATGTACTTAGCATTCAGTAGATACACCAAGCTGGATTAAAGTTGACTAAATCGCAACCGAAGGCACGCGAGGTAAGTTCATTATGTATTTATGTTATATCTGATGTTTTGTTTTTGTCATCCGACGCTACCGATTGAGTTGGCTCACTTTACTTAATGTAAGAAGCGTAGCATCACACCGCAGCTCAGCTAATGTTGATGTTACCAGTGTTACTGTTACAAATCCTCAGGTCACAAAAGACTGGGACGAAGCTCATTGTCCCAACACATGTCAATAAATAAAAACAACTACGTACTCAGGTTCTAACTTTAGCTGCAGATCAAACAACAACGATGCTAGTCTGTAATGAATAATACTATTGACCTCATATCATGATGCAGAAATAATCAAGAAGAGAATGTAAAACACTGACAATTATACTCTAGTGTTTATTTTAATATAATCAAGTAATCTCATACATGCACAGCAACAAATCATTTGTAGTCTGTGATGAGGTTGAGCCTTGATGCATCCCTCCTGCATAAATCATTCAGGGATCACAATGATCTCGTTAGTTATTGTCTAATGTCTCTCAGGATAAGACAACAATGAGCTAAATGCCTATAATGTGTCAGTGTTTTCTCTCTCGACCTTTCAGGATGTCGGACTCTGACAGTGACGAGGATCAAGATCGTCCTTTCTCCATCACTGGCTTCCTCTTTGGAAACATCAACGAAGATGGACAGCTGGAGGACGACAGTGTTTTAGACAATGTAAGTGTGGTGAAGACACTTTCCTATTGCTGCATATTAAGCTGAATTACTTTGCTTTGCGTTTAAACTCAGATTTTAGTTAATAGCGTTGTATATTATGTTGCTGTTCTCATCTGCTCACACCAGTTCTCTGCACGATTCTCTTCTCTTTCTACACCCTTCTCACTCCAGGAGTCCAAAAAGCATCTAGCTGGTTTGGGTACTCTGGGTCTGGGCTCGCTCATCACAGAGATTACTGCTAATGAAGATGATGATCAAGCGGAAAACAGAGACCCTGGTAGTGTTGACGAAGAAGGTGAGGCTAAATACTGTATATGAAAGAACTGTGCATTAATGTATCCAAGGTTAAGATGGAGTAACATTTTTTTAATTTTTTTGCCTCATGCAGGTTGGGTGCAAAGCACTGAAGATGCAGTTGATTATTCTGACATCAGTGAGGTTGCTGAGGATGAGACAAAGAAGTACCGTCAGGCCATGGGGTCTTTGCAGCCGTGCAGGAAAACAGGTGATCATGTTACAACACACAAGAGTCTTTATTTTACCTTTTCTTTTTGGATATATAAAACTCTGTTTTACCTTAAAAAAATATGTATATATTAAAGGTTCAGTGTATAGGATTTAGTAGCATCCAGCAGTGAGGTAGCAGATTGCAACTAAATTAATAACTTCGCCTCACGCTTTCCTCTCTACGGTTGGGAAGTACACGCTGGTCTTCAGGTAACATATGTTAAAGGTCTCTGGAGCCAGTGTTGGCTTTGTCCATTCCTGGCTAAAGGAAACTAAACTAAGAATATTATATTTCATTTCTGCCAATCAAACACCAATCCTACACACTGGACCTTAAAATAAATGTTGTTGTACATATTACACACTTTTAAAACTTTTTGTTCACTCTTTTATTTATGTTAATATAATCCCTTCAATTTGTCTTTATTTCAGATGATGATGATGACTATGATGCCGACTGTGAGGATATTGATTCTAAGCTCATGCCTCCTCCACCACCACCAAGTCTCGCAACAGGTGCTAAGAAAGATGAACCATCCTCTCAGCCTGCAAACGGTAAGGGCTGACTCAAAATTAGTCCCTGAGGAGAAATTATACCAGGCATACCCTCATCCCCTGAGGTTTGTTCTTTAAAGAGCTGTAACTGTGGAGTCTGAAAAGAAAGTCGATATATTCACGCTTATAAGGTTTAGATTGCCTCTGAAAATATCTGAGAATATGACTCTTAGAAAATATTATGACGTAAATTCAATAGAAATTCAGGGAAAGGTTCATGTATTTTTTTATCACAAATACTAATGATTAGGGTTGATTCTCTCAATCACTTTGGTTCCTTCTAGTCGGTGAAGAGGGTGATGGCATCATCCTGCCCTCCATTATTGCACCATCCTCCACGGCTGATAAGGTTGACTTCAGCAGCTCCTCAGACTCTGAGTCTGAAACTGATCGTCCCTGTCAGGGGTCCGGGGCTGGAGGGTCCCCAAACAGGCTCAATCTCCCTCTTGCTGGCATCATGCAGAAGGATGCAGCCAAAGCACTGCCAGGTGTCACAGAGCTCTTCCCAGAGTTTAGGCCTGGAAAGGTAAAGCTTCCTCACAGCCATTGTACTTAATCGGTTGGCCCAGTAAAGGTTTACTGAATCATCATCATTTTAAAATCAAGGTGGGAACTGATACCAGTTATCTTGGCCGTACTACTAGGTGCTTAGGTTCTTGCGACTGTTTGGTCCTGGGAAAAGCATGCCGTCTGTTTGGAGGAGTGCCCGCAGGAAGAAGAAGCGGAAGCACCGGGACCATCAGCCTGGGACGCCTCCTCCAGAAGGAGAACCCACAGAGCAAAGCCTGGAGAAGAAGTCTGGATGGATATATGAGTATGCAACCCCTCCACCACCAGAGCAGTGTCTCTCTGATGATGAGGTAAATCTTCAGTGTCACAGGCTACAACAGACTCTCATAATGTCACCTGGTAGTAGTGCAGCACTTCATAATTGTATTTAACACTAAAGTATTCAGGCGGTTGTGAAGGAATCTGTGCAGAGAACCTCCAGCTGTGTTGTGCATTTGTGAAAGGCAAACTGCGGGAAAACTGTTGCCAATTCTCTGGGTTTTACCCGCAGGTCATGTCTGAAAACCGCTTGAACATGCTTCTCTGTGTTATCCAGATAACCATGATGGCTCCAGTAGAATCTAAGTTCTCACAGACCTGTGGTGATGGGGACAAAGAGACAGAGTCTCGACCTAAAGTAGCAGAATGGAGATATGGTCCAGCCCAGCTCTGGTACGACATGCTCGGTGTCCCTGAGGACGGAAGCCATTTCACCTATGGGTTCAAGCTAAAAGAAAAGCAGTCCAGTGAGCCTCAGAAGCAAGACGCACCTAAAGAAATAACAGAGCCTTCTCAAGAGGTACATAGACAAGGACATATAATGGCATACAGTGACATTTTTCAGACTGTGTTACTGATATTGTGTGTATTTGACCCCTAGTTTCAAAGGCAAGAAGACGATAATGATGATAACGAGGATCAAGAGAAAAACAGAGCAGACCCTGAGAACGAGCTCTTCCTGATGGTCACTCAGCTGCAATGGGAAGACGATATCATCTGGAATGGGGAGGACATAAAACACAAGGGCACCAAGACTCAGCGAGCCAGCCTGGCAGGATGGCTACCCTCTAGTATGACCCGCAATGCCAATGCTTACAATGCTCAGCAGGGTGAGTTGTCATGAAAAATAGTACACAAATAACTGATGGCCACATACAGTATATCCTGCTGTAATATTTTATGTGTGTAAAATTGAATTTAATATTCTGTTAAATCTTACAGGTCTGACAAGAAGTAATTCACAGTTGGTGCCACCTACACCTCCACCAATGCCCAAAGCTTCTTCAATCTCCGGCTCCAAGCGGGACAAAAATAGCCACGATAATCATGGTGAGTTTACTTTTAGATAACACTACAAATAATACATTCATAGACTCTTCTGAAGCTAACTTCTCATTTTCTGAATTGTGTTAATTTGTATTTTTTTTCTCCACAGCCTTACACGAAGATGATTGTCCCTGGTTCTCCATTTTTCCTATTGACAATGAAGAGTTAGTGTATGGACGCTGGGAGGACAACATTATCTGGGATGACCAGGAGATGGATTACTTCCTCGCACCACCAGTTCTCACACTGGATCCAAATGATGAGAATATAATTCTTGGTATATAAAAACAAATCATGCCATATTAACTTCTGTTTTATTCAAATTTGAGATCTTACAACATCTTACCCTCAGCTTATTTCCATTCTGCTTATTTTGATGCCCCCTGAACTGTCTCTTGTAGAGATTCCAGATGACAAGGAGAAAACGATGTCTCACTCCCCCTCAAAAGAAAATAAGAAGGAAACCGCAATCAAAAAGAGCCGCATCCTGCTGGGGAAGACTGGGGTGATAAAAGATGAGCCACAGCAGGTATGTTGCCTGATCAGATCAGGGGAAGCAACATGTTTGATTATGGCAAAGGCTGGATAAAAAGCTGTGCCTCATCAATGGAGATACGTCTCATTTGTAACAGGAAATGGTAAAATATGTCTCTAATCAGGAGGATCAAAGCTGCATAATGAAGGAGCAGATGAAGTAAAGAAGATTTCTTGAGCTTGAAAAAAATTGTCTAGCTTCATCGTGTCTGAGTAATACCCAATACAGTGAAATGTTGGAGTGGTGGTTAAACTTTGCAGTTAAAAAATAGAAAAGGTTTATGTATGAAATCTCCTTCCACTCAACTCAGAACATGTCCCAGCCGGAAGTGAAGGACCCGTGGAACCTCTCCAATGACGAGTTCTACTATCCCAAACAGCAGGGCCTGAGGGGGACTTTTGGTGGAAACATCATTCAGGTGAGCAGTGGCGTCTGAAAGTAAACATTGTGATGGAACTCATGCACAGAGTCAAAACTGATAAACCTTTGTGTCTTTAACAGCACTCCATCCCGGCGCTTGAGCTCAGGCAACCCTTCTTCCCCACTCACATGGGGCCCATGAAGCTGCGGCAGTTCCATCGACCGGCTCTGAAGAAGTACTCATTTGGAGCATTGGCTCAGCCGGGTCCTCATCCTGTCTCGCCACTGCTCAAACACATCAAGAAGAAGGCCAAGGTGGACATTACTTTTTAAAACAAGCATTACTCTTTAGACATATGAAAACAGCGTTCCCTCCCATTTTTGTTGTAACATAAGCCAAGTACATGTTTTTGTGTAGATGAGAGAGCAGGAACGTCAGGCATCGGGAGGAGGAGACATGTTCTTCATGAGAACGCCACAAGACTTGACGGGCAAAGATGGAGATCTGATCCTGGCAGAGTACAGTGAAGAATATTCCCCCCTCATCATGCAAGTAGGCATGGCAACCAAGATCAAGAACTACTACAAAAGGGTGAGTCTTGTCTTTATTAATAATAAGAATAACAATTAATTATAACTTGGATTTATATAGCACCGTTCAAGTTACCTAAGGCTGCTTTACAGAGTTAGTAAGACAAAAATAAAACATTGCATAGTTCTTGGAAAGTCTTTGAAAGTAATTGCAGACCTGTATACAAATACTGTAGGTGTGATATTCTGTCATCCTATTCAAGTTTGTGAAATTGAGAGACATGAAATGTTAGTCTTGTTGTAAAGAGTTGTTGAACTACATCATAGCAATGTGTTACTCTTGTCTTTAGAAACCTGGAAAGGATCCCGGAGCTCCTGACTGTAAATATGGAGAGACTGTGTACTGCCACACATCTCCTTTCCTGGGTTCTCTGCATCCTGGACAGCTGCTTCAGGTCAGCACTGTCACAGTCAACATGTGGAGCATTGTCTGCCTGTTAACTGTGACTAACTGGGATGTGTTATTTATTATCCTTTAGGCGTTTGAAAACAACCTTTTCCGTGCACCAATCTACCTGCACAAGATGCCAGAGACTGATTTCTTGGTTCTACGGACGCGCCACGGCTACTACATCAGAGAGATTGTGGACATTATTGTGGTCGGTCAGGAGTGCCCTTTGTTTGAGGTTCCTGGGCCTAACTCGAAACGAGCCAATACCCACATCAGAGATTTCCTTCAGGTTTGTTTAATTTACTCTCGGAAACTTAATCTGCTGTTGATGTGAATGCTGAACTTTCACTTGTGTATTCTGTAGGTGTTCATTTATCGCTTGTTCTGGAAGAGCAAGGATCGGCCCCGCAGAATCCGCATGGAGGATATAAAGAAAGCTTTTCCCTCACACTCGGAGAGTAGCATCAGGAAACGACTTAAACTTTGTGCCGACTTCAAACGTACAGGTAGACTTTGCTCATTCATCAATTCTGTGCTCTGTATCTTTACCATTCAGTGATCAACATGATTATCATCATTTGTTAAATTAACTTAATCCAGTTGTTTGTATCAGGGCAATGGTGAGGTTAAATCGAGATACTGTGCTGTTTGAAGCTGGTTGGGTTCAACAGTGCATGTGCCTTAAATTGACAGAAAGGAATCTGAGCAGGGAAAGAGAATTGTACACCTACTTTGGATTTTGTCTACAAGGTAAGATGTTGTCTGAAGTCAGTTTGAGGACACAGGGGGCAAACGCTCAGTATTTACATTAAGCAAGGTTTTCTACAAGTTCCACATGTAAACAGGCAAAAAAATGTTTTTATTCTACTCCATGATATAATCAAGTTCCTTGTCACTCTACTGCTGTGGTAAGATTGCGTTTGGAGCACGAACACAGCAGGGGATTCACCGCAAGGTGTGGGTGGTTGGGTTAATGATGCTTCTAACACGCATCAGAAGCATAAATGAAAAAGAAAAGAAATGATCTCCCAGTGAAAAAACAGTGTCATACATGTAGAAGACACAGACAAAGATATCTGGAGAGTTTGTGGTGATAAGAGTCAGATATGGTGGTGTGCTGTAAACATGATCATGTGATCTACATAGTGGAGTTAATACAACATTTCCTCTTGCCTGAATAACGCAGAGGATTTAATGCTGTTGTGAACGCCTCTGTGCAGAAAACCTCCTGCTGCATTGTGCATGTGTGAAAGGCATATTTCCCCAGAGGTCATGTCTGAAAACCATTTTATAGTCTGCATTTGGTGGGGTGCAATAAAAGCCAGGCTGGAGAATATGCAAACAAGGGCCTTTGGGATCATCTCTGTAGATCAACACCTCCACCACCACCTCCATCGGTTTTCTGTTGTTGCAGATCAAACATTCAGGAGGAGTTTAGGAATTTTCTTCAAGGAGAACATCTTAAGGCTAATTTATTTTCAACTGTTTTTTATTTATTCACCTTTATTTATACAAGTTGGTAAAAAACTGCAGACGTCTATATGATGTTACTTAACCCGTGCACAGGAAAAGTTGTTATTGTTGTTGTGAAACTCGATTCTGCACTACACTCTAGTGGATGTATTGCTTAACAACCATGTCACATGGAAGTATGTGGGCCGTGACAATTTCATCTAATGTATCTCTTTTTTCTGTAAAAAAAAAAAAACTATGAATGAGCCTTTCAGCCATATTCTTAAGATTCAACTTTATTGGAGACAAACCTATACATCAATGGAGTATTTGTGAATGTATGGGTGTATATCTTGTAGATATGATGTGCAATCATAGTTGTATTTGTTTTTGTCCATCCATCCACGAGCATAAGTGTTGATTTAAAAACGTCCTTGTCCTCGTGTTAGGGATGGACTCTAACTGGTGGGTGCTGAAGCCTGACTTCAGATTACCCACAGAAGAAGAGATCAGAGCCATGGTGTCTCCAGAGCAGTGTTGTGCTTACTACAGCATGCTGGTGGCAGAGCAGAGACTCAAGGTAACTGGCTTCTCCTCTAAGCAATTTGATGTTCAACACAAGTGAGTTGTGTGTCCACGGCTTCACTACCAGTTATTTTACCCCTGTAGGATGCTGGATATGGTGAGAAATCCTTCTTTGCTCCAGAGGAGGAGAACGAAGAAGACTTTCAAATGAAGATTGATGATGAGGTACTGACCCAAGTGCTTCTTAATAATGAGTTTAAATGATCCAGACTTGAGATAACGAGAAGCTTTTTAGACTTGAATCACACTAATCCTTTCTCACACATCCATGTAGGTGCGGACAGCTCCATGGAACACAACAAGAGCTTTCATTTCTGCCATGAAGGGGAAATGTCTGCTGGAGGTTACAGGTGTGGCTGATCCTACAGGCTGTGGAGAGGGTTTCTCCTACGTCAAAGTTCCCAACAAACCCACTCAACAAAAGGTCAGACCGGCTAAAGCAACATATTGCCACTCCTTGCACTGCTTTGTTTATGTATAGAAAGAGAAAACTGTAATCCTATGGGGGTTTTCAGGATGACAAAGAGCCACAGCCCGCCAAGAAGACGGTAACGGGGACAGACGCCGACCTCAGGAGACTCTCGCTGAAAAACGCCAAGCAGCTGCTGCGCAAGTTTGGTGTTCCAGAGGAAGAAGTAAGAACCTGACAAAGTACAAAGAGAAAGGTAGAAAGGTCTAGAAGTTCGAGAGGATGTCCCATAATACAAATCCTTTTTTGATGTCCAACAACCATTGCGTAAATCACAACAATGGGTAACTTAAACTTGCCTGTTCTCTTCTTTTATTCACTCTGATTACCAAATCTTCTGAATCTGTGTGTCTGAATGTCTATGAGTGATTGTATGTTTGTGTTTTTATGTGTTTTAGATCAAAAAGCTCTCTCGCTGGGAGGTTATTGACGTGGTGAGGACCATGTCCACAGAGCAGGCACGTTCAGGTGAGGGACCCATGAGCAAATTTGCCCGAGGGTCCCGTTTCTCTGTTGCTGAACACCAGGAGCGCTACAAGGAGGAGTGCCAGAGGATCTTTGACCTGCAGAACAAGTGAGGCTCTTATTTAGTGCTATTTAGGTTTTTATAAACTCTGTGTTAGAACTGTTTGACTCATTTTCCTTGTTGCCTGTCCACCACAGGGTATTAGAATCGACAGAGGTGCTCTCCACAGACACAGACAGCAGCTCAGCAGAAGACAGTGACTTTGAGGAAATGGGGAAGAACATTGAGAACATGCTGCAGAACAAGAAGACCAGCTCCCAGCTTTCCCGCGAGAGGGAAGAGCAGGAGAGGAAGGAACTGCAGCGGATGCTTATGGGGGAGGAGAGTGACAACAAGGGACGCAAGGAGCGGCGGAAAGGCTTGTGTACTTACACTGCTTACTTTTATTAACTTCTCATGGTACACTGAAGACGTGTGTTAGCTATGGTAAAAACATCTCTCATTGTAAACTCCTTTCCACTCTGTAGCGAGTTCCTTGTCCACCAGCTCACACAAGGATGACGACACGTCCTCCGTCACAAGCCTGAACTCCTCAGCCACAGGAAGGCGGCTCAAGATCTATCGCACCTTCAGGGATGAAGATGGCAAGGAATATGTCCGCTGTGAGACAGTACGGAAGGCTTCAGTCATTGACGCCTACACCAGGATCAGAACCACCAAGGATGATGAATTCATGTAAGTTTTTATCTTTACAGTTGTATTTGGATTCTTTTGTAACAACGGTTTCATGTCATGCTATGATTCGGCATTTTAGTGTGGCATGGTCCACTGGTTGAAAAACATATGCAATTAATAATAGTTTGTTCAATTTTTGCTTCTCTATGTATGAAATGTAATTTTGTTTATTAAGGAATTATTATTATTATTATTATAAAGAAATGACACAATTAGTGCCATCACCACGAAGGAACCTGTAAATTTCAAATAGCCAGCGATGTTTATCTCTGCAGACGGAAGTTCGCCCTCTTTGACGAGCAGCACCGAGAAGAGATGAGGAAGGAGCGCAGGCGTATTCAGGAGCAGTTGAGGAGACTGAAGAGAAACCAAGAGAAGGACAAGATCAAGGGTCCTCCAGAGAAGAAGGCCAAGAAGGTCAAGGAGAGACCAGACCTCAAGGTAAAAGTAAGCTTGCTGATTCAGTACTATACTCTCTTTCGCTTATTCACCAGCTTTTTAATACCCAGCTAAATTCAGACCGCACCCAGTTTGCTTTCTTTCATTATTATTATTATTATTATTTTATTATTTCCTATAGCACAAGTAGATTCTTTGTCGTGTTCCTTAATGTTTGCCTCTTTTCCCTAGCTAAAGTGCGGAGCATGTGGAGCCATAGGACACATGAGGACAAACAAGTTCTGCCCACTGTACTATCAGACCAACGCCCCACCTTCTAACCCAGTTGCCATGACAGAGGAGCAAGAGGAGGAGCTGGAAAAGACAGTTATCCACAATGACAACGAGGAACTGATCAAAGTGGAGGGCACAAAGATCGTCCTGGGCAAACAACTCATTGAGAGGTAGTGGATTGTCCCTCTTCTTCCTGTCTTTATCATCAAAAATTCTGTAATCCTTAAACTTGTGTTGATGCACAGCCAGAACAGCTCAAAATTCCACCATACATTACATCATTTTTTCTCTTACAGTGCTGATGAGGTGCGCAGGAAGTCCTTAGTGCTCAAGTTCCCCAAACAACAGCTCCCACCAAAGAAGAAGAGACGCGTCGGCAGCGCTGTGCACTGTGACTATCTTAACGTAAGCAAAGCCATTGTACTGCTTGTTTTAGAAAAAGAATTTGAACTCACAGATCCTGCGGCTGATCTTTTCTTCTGTTTCTGTTCACAGAAACCACACAAGGCCATCCACCGCAGACGCACTGACCCCATGGTGACCTTGTCCTCTGTGCTTGAGAGTGTCATCAATGATATGCGGGATCACCCCAACGTAAGATCCACCAGGAACACACTCAATCGCCACAATATTTTACCATTCTATACATTCCCCTTAGTGCTGCGTGGTCTTATCCTTACTGCTATCCCCCCCCTCTACGTAGACGTACCCGTTCCACACACCAGTAAATGCTAAGGTGGTGAAGGACTACTACAAGATCATCACTCGACCCATGGACCTGCAGACGCTGAGGGAGAATGTACGCAAACGAATGTACCCATCAAGGGACGAGTTCCGTGAAGCAGTGGAGGTCATAGTCAAAAACAGTGCCACCTACAATGGTAAAGAATAAAAACTTGTTTTAAAACCTCTTAGGCTCAAAAGGTGACTAAGTTTGTTAAGATGGCTTTTGGTTTTTGTTCCGCCAGGGGCAAAGCATCCGATAACGCAGGTGGCACAGTCCATGCTGGACCTGTGCGATATTAAACTGAAAGAGGTGAGTGTGAATGTTATTTCGCACCGTCCTGTTCTTTTGCTTATTTCCACATTATCTCTCAAACCTGTGAATGTGTGTTCAGAAGGAGGACAGACTGGTGAGGCTGGAGAAAGCCATCAACCCTCTGCTGGATGACGACGATCAGGTGGCCTTCTCGTTCATCCTGGACAATATCGTGACCCAGAAAATGATGGTGGTTCTCGATGTGAGTCACATTTTCTCAGCATTTCTGAGCATTTTGTGCAAGTTAGATATTTTAAATACATATTCTGATAATATTGCATGCAATAAAAGTAACTATCTGTGTCTTATTCTCCTTTCCTTACCCTCTCTGTAGTCATGGCCGTTCCATCATCCTGTAAACAAAAAGTTTGTACCTGATTATTATAAGGTGATTGTATGCCCTATGGATCTGGAGAGCATTCGCAAGGTGAGGGCGTGAGGCGTCAATCTAAAACAAATATACTAATAACATTTTAATATCAGCAATACAAAGACGGTGAACACAAAATGTTTGTATTTGTTCCATGCCTCAACAGAACATCTCCAAACACAAATACCAGAACCGAGATGCTTTCCTCTCAGATGTCAGTCTCATCCACGCCAACAGTATCAAGTACAATGGTAAATCATCACTGTTACCGTGAACTCTGCCTTCAGTTTCTTTAGAACTGTACATAACTAAATAACTAATAACATTTCTGCAGTTCAGTAAAAATGTTGTTGAAGCATAATTACTGTTTGTGTCTGTCACAGGTCCAGACAGTCCGTACACAAAGACAGCCCTGGAGATCACCAATGTGTGCAAGCAGACCTTGGCAGAGGTATGATAAGTCTGATACATAGTTTTCTGTGCCTATTAAGGGGAAGAGTTGTTATTAATGATGCAGTAAATTACATTGGGTTTAAACAACAGCTTCAAAGCAATGCAGAGAACAGTTTAAAGGGATTCTATAAAGTGACACTTGATAATGAATGCTCCTCTGTTTTTCACACAATCTATTATTGTAGAAGGTTGTTAAAAATAGTGGAATGTTTGTGTGGTGTACAATCATACAACACAGAGGACTGCAAAATAAATAAAATTACATTCTGTCTGTAACAAAATCTGAAGGTTGTATGGAGGTTTATTTCAGCTAAATATATGCCTAATTGGTGCTGTAATAATTACATGTTTTTGTGCTTCCAGTATGACGAGCACTTGACCCAGTTGGAGAAGGACATCTCGACGGCTAAAGAGGCAGCTCTAGATGCTGCAGACCTGGAGAGTCTGGACCCAATGACTCCTGGACCTTACACACCGCAGGTAGGAGAGCAGCCAGGACCAAGGTTTTATCAAATAGTAAGTAAATGGTGGTTTCCTGGGCACACAGACAATAGACTACAGGCCTCTATCTGTTTATAACATGCCACTCCAGGTAGTGTAAACATTTCTGTGCACAGTATTCTCCTTGCCACTCCTTGTAGTACTCCTTCTGCCCCTTTTCCCTTTTTATATCTGTATTAACTCTCCTTTCTAGACTGTCATGTTTCCTTTTTCTACAAACTAGTTTCTTCACTGCAGTGTCTCCTTTTTTCCAACCTGTTTCTCTCCTTCGCTCCTGCTGTCTTGTCCTGTCTCTCCTTGTGTCCGTGCTTGTCTGTGTGGTGTTGGCCAGCCTGCTGATCTGTTTGACAGCGGGGCTTCAGGGAGTCTGCCCAGAGAGCCCAGCAGCCTGTTCTCTGAGGGACCTCTAGTGGTTGCTTCAGAGAAGAGAGGGGGGCAGGTATGGAGAGAGACAGAAATGAGGCTTGCAACCACATGCCACCTCTCCTCAAACTATCCTCAGAGCACCAAGCTTGTTCGCATGCTTTGCTGTATATACTGTACAAGTAATCATTCAGCAGTTTGTCATTGCACAAGGTTGATTTGAGACTTTTATGATCGTATTCTTCAGGGACGCCACATGAGGCGACCTGGGGAGGAGGAGTCAGATGTGGACATTGAAGGCTTTGAAGAGGACGATGACGGAAAACCAAAGACTCCTGCTCCGGTGAGACAGATGGATTTAATCAAAGTTCATCTACAGTCCAAAAAAGTTCATTCAATGTTTTCCTTTTACAAAGTATACACATACCATCCTCACCCAAGAACCACCTTATTGTGTTGGGGTTAATTCTTTATTCATTATTTCATTATATTTCCTATTATATTTATTTTACAGATTTAGGAAATGTGTTAACTTAATTCTTGTGCAGTTTTAGGAGACATTTTTTAACTATTCAATATTCTTCTGTTGAAATTTATCTACATAATCAACTTGCTCATGGCTGTCTTATTCACCTGTTGTTTGTCTGACCTGTGTCTCTAGGCAGAGGACGCTGAAGGAGATCTGGAGGACGAAGACGACGACGATGAGATGTTGCTGCCCCCTCGCAGACGGCTGCACGACCATGAGGATGAAGATGAGTATGAAGATGATGAGGGAGAGGACGGACGCTCTAACCGCCCTGCCCAAGCCAGCGTGCTGTACCAGGATCTGCTCATGTCTGACGGAGAGGATGATGCCAGCGAAGAGGAGGGCGACAACCCTTTCTCCTGTAAGTTCAACTGGGGAGGTAAAGGGGACAGCTGAATTATAGAGACAAATAAAAGGGAAAAGTAAAGTGGGAATATAATAAAGAAATATTTTTGCATTGTACTGAAAATTGACAATGACAGAGCACTATAGAGACTATAGACAAAATAGATATAGGACAGTAAACAAACATGTATCATTACTCAGTCTTTGATGAAGACCATGTGTAGCTCTTTGTGCTTGATATTTGTCCTGATGTATTGTGTGTCCCCTTCAGCCATTCACCTGTCCGAGAGTGGTAGTGACTCCGACAGAGAGGTGGATGTACGACCTCCACCTCCACAGAGAGCTCAAGATACTGCACGCATGGGAATGGAGCAGGACGAGAGCATGATGTCGTACGACGGGCCTGATGAGCCTCACATGGAAGACAGCAACGTCAGGTACAACGGGCCCCAGAGTGAAGAAGCCCTGCTCTGCTATAACTCTCAAGAATAAAGCTTTACAATAATCGTACTATTTTACTGTCAGTCTGGTTTCCTCACCATTATAACATATTGGTGGATGCAATATTGTTCGTGCATGCATTGCCCTACTTCAATGATTGGTAATACTGATGTGGGCTCTTGACATTCCCTCTCCCACTTTCCATCTCTTCTGTATCAGTTACGGCAGCTATGAGGAGATGGAGAGCCAGAGTCAGATGCAGCCCTTGGGCATGGGAAATGGAGAAGAATATGGCATCAGCGAGGAGGAGGAGGAAGATGAAGAAGATGAAGCACGTAGGAGAGGCCCAGCTGTGCTCTCCCAGGTCCAACTCAGTGAAGACGAGGAGAGTGAAGAGTTCAGATCAATCGGGGGAGACAGCGACATGGACTCTGACAACTAGTTAACTTTTTTTTTAATGCGCATTATCACAGAAAGATTGTTTTAAAATCAAGAAAGAGAGATTTCTCGGGTGAACATATTGTACATTTTTGTTTATAGCTTCCTTGTGTTTTCTTATCCCTGCACCTCTGGGGTCAAATTCTCAGTAGCTTTTTTATATGTAAGATGACAGTTGTCTACAATGATGTACCTTGATCTTGAAGTGTGTGTCCCATTGTTATCTGCTGTTTAAAGTCATTTAATATCCTGTGCTCAATAAAGACTCAGCAGCTCTGTTATATCTGCCCAGTGCTAACATGAAAAATAGAATAAACTCAATGAAGAATAACAAGGAGCAGTCACCAAGTCCTTATTACTAACAGTCATTTTCTGGTTCCTGCTCTTGTTTATTAGGTTTTAGAGTAAAACCCACAGACCGTATATAAAAAGTGAAACCACACTTATATTGTTGGTATCAAGTGAGCTTCCTATTATGAAGACGTCACCTGTTTAGTTTCTCTTGATGCCAACGTGCACGCTTCCTGTTACAAAACAACGCCTCTGAAAGAGACGGCCTGTTCTGCAATCAGCATAGATGAATCATGCTGTGCTTCTACATCTGTTTGAATTTGATGAGTTCATGCACATGCAATGCTTACAAAGTCACTGATGGCAACAAAAAGACAATCTTATTCCATTTAATTTATTATTCTTCACTGATAATTTCAAGGACATCTCAGATTAGATTTATCAGAAGAGAAGGAATTCACTCATTCTTCAACACCTATTTATTTACAGTACACATTATTTAGGTTTTTATCTTAATAAATGAATGTAACATATCCAGCCTATGTAACGGAAACACAGATGCAGTACATACATTATCTTAGAGCAAGGATTTATATTTTTCTGCAGGCTTAACCATAGAAGTAAATTACCCATCAGTAAAATACTACATGAACATCTTCATGTTTTAATTATTATATTATCTTAAGTATTTGGGATTCACTGGTGATGTCATTCACTGTTGAGTGTGTGGTGCATATCTGGCCCAAGCCACAGGGGTCGACCTCTCAGGAGATGCAAAGACGCGTCCGTGACGAGACAGGTATCCTTTAGCAGACTGAGCGATCCTGCAGGGGCTCAGAGACTGAGACCTCTGCGGCCTCTTCATGGCCGCTATCCGAACCAAGTGGTCTCTCGCTGAGCTGGAGTTCACGGATGCTGCAGAAAGTGATGGAGACCAGCAGCTCGACCCCATTCTGGTAGATGATGCACCTGGGAATACAATGTTTCATCGGAAGCGATGCAAAGAGGGTTGTTCAATAGCTGTAACATTATCAAAGCAGTCCAATGAGAACTCCGTCTTGTTGCTTCTCAAATGTGAGGAAACGGATCCAAACCTGATGCAGGATGAGAGGTTTGATGAGCAGGGGGGTAGTCGTCGGTTTCAAAACTCCGACTGTTCCTAACAGCCTGGAGGGAGCGGAGGCTGGTCCGCACAGGTGATCTGGTCCTACCTGCAGATGTTGCTGCAAAACACATCAGGGTTATTTTGAGGTCTACACACACTCATTCAGCCTCACAAGCTCTTTTCATGTGCTGCTAATTTTGCCAGAATATATCTATTCTCAAATATTTTATGTTTCCATCAACATTTTCTCTTGGTTTTACTAAAATGGAACATTTTGGAGACTTTTATATGTCACATAAAACCCCAGTTTGTGAGTCTCTATTTCATGTGCCTCAATAAAAGTAATTCAATATTTATTTGACCAAAGTGGTTATATTTTCATCTGCATTTGCAAAAAAAACTATTAAATGGATTACCACAAAATTATAGCAACTAGTCTGTCAGAGCTGAAACATTATCGTACACAACTGTTCTTGGTCTCTCACTCCTCCACCTTCTATGTAAAATAGAGAGTGAATATGTATATTAGGTTTTGGCGCTACACAAATAAATATGATTTGAATACACCTCAAATTGTATTGATGCCTCTGATTATATAGCCAGGTTTTTTCTCTGTGCACCTTGATTCTGTGCCAGTTTAAGCAGCTTGAACTGGATGACCTGCTGGTGAAGCCGGGCCAGTTTTGGACTCTGCCTGGCTGCTGATGTTGGTGAATGGCTAGATGGAGAGCTCAGGGACAACAGACGAGGCGACCAGCGAGAGGGAAATGACGCCTCGGTTTTATTCCCTGGAGTGAAGTCGTCAGTAGTTTCTACTGCAGTGTTAAAATAAGAAGGTGACTCAGGGCTTCTCAGAGGCGAGGAAACATAGTCTTGTCGTAAACCTGAAAGATGCAGACTAAAGTTATCTCTGTTCAACATTATCACACATCATTGAGAGTGCAGTGTACAGTAAGTCAAATCAAAAAGCCTTGCGTGTACTCACTGGCCTCCTGTATTTGAGCCATTATGCGGACGTCTGTGATGTCCTCCAGTCTGTAGTTTCTGTTTATGGAGTTTCTGGAGCTGCTCAGCTCATTGTTATCTATGCAGATTAATACATGCAAACATATGTGACTGAATTATATAATATCGAAGACGTTTGTTTTGGAAAAAACATAAAGGTGATCCATGCACAGAAATTGATCTTGATTTTATTTCACTGATCAGTGTTAAAAGAATTTTAAACTATATCTCAGGTTATTTGTTGTTTCATTACCTGAACTGTGGGAGATGTTCTGGGCTGTGTTAGCTGATGATTTTTCCACAGAACCAGTACGAAAAACTGCAGGATGTCTGTAGAAGTGACTGCTCGGTCCTGACAATACAGAGAGTGGGGGCTGCTCAGACCAAAATGTTTTGTAATCACAGAAATCAGCAGCATGGAAGAGTGGGCCATGGTGCTGCACGCTTACTTCCATCCAGCCTGTTCATCAGCTGGCGACACGCAGCCTCCACCTCAGGACTGGGGTTATCCAGGACATGTCGACACCATGTGAGAGCAGACTCAGATTTCTGCTCAGTCGCCTCCTTCTTTGGAGACTCGTATAACCTGAGAGGAATAAGAGAGCACACTCACACTTTTATTTGACTGAGAAACCCTGCTTTTCAAACAATGGTGGTGTAGAGAATTTGGTTCTCCTGATCAGCATCCACCTTATTCTATCTGCTTTACACAGCTTTTACTCCACCATGGAGGTTGTGTTTTCACCTGTCTGTTTGTTTGTTGGTTTATTTGTCAGCAGGATTATGCACCATAGAACAGATTGCCATGAAACTTAGTGGTAGGATGGAACATGGGACACCAATAAATTTGGAATAATTCTGGCTAAAGGGGCAGATTGCCAGAAATGTCCTGCTGCAAGTCTCACAAGAGTATCATCAAAGATCTGATTTCACCTACCAGCTCTCTTCATCCTGCTCACCATCGTCTACATCAAGAAGCTCCACAGAGTCCAAAGCAGACTCCTCTTCTTTGGGCTCACCGTCCCAAGCGTTTTCCTGACTGTTTAATGTTTCGTCCGTGACGCAGCAAGGTGTGGGTGAATTACACCCTGACTTCAAATGATCCAGTCTGACCCTTGCATCCATGGCAAACGAGTGACCGTTCCAACTCTTAAACGTTGCTGGTTCTGTTTCCATCCAGATGCTGCAGTATGAATGCGAGCTGTCCTCCAGCCCTTCACAGTTTTTTTCCATCTCACTGGAGAAGAGATGGTTGTTTGCACTGGTGTCAAACTCCATGGGTGGCTCGTTGGAAAAATGAAGGCTCCAGTTGTTCTTTGGTTCTTCTGAAGTTAGATCCTCACAGCTCGTCACTTCTTCAAACTCCTCGTGCATTTATCGTCTTCCACCCCGGGACTCCAAAATGAAGTTGTTATCAAACCAGAATCTGACAAAACCTCATTTTAAGATAAAAGGATTCTTCAGGGTTACAGTCATGGTTGTGTAGGACTGCACAAACCGCTTCTGTGCTGCTTCACTGTACCATATATTGACCCAGATTTGTTGAGTAGGGCTGTTAAGTATAGACACTCAACAGATTGGATGGATTTAGAGAAGCATCATGAGCTTATGTGGATTAAAGAGTTTGTGAGCTGTTACTAAGAAAGAAAAATAGCCACTGTACATCACACCATCAAGACTGATATTGACAAAAACCTATTTGGCCTATAGCAGTTATGAATATATGATTCTTGGTTTACTAAAATATGAATTTAACCTTTTTACATTCAGAACATGGAGGATTCTCTCCATCTGAATTGTGTATACTGGATTGTTCACCTTGCTGCTGCTGCTGCTTTCTTTAGTTGTCATGCCAAAAGCTACTGCTGAGTGTTTGTGGTTAGTTGTTTTTGGACGTATCTGCTTCATACATCTCACCCAAGGAAGTTGCAACGAGAAGTGTGGTCACATCATAGATTCTCTGTCTCTCTCTCTCTCTCTCTCTTTCTCGTGCACACATGCCACCCACACGCAGAAATGGAACTGACACATCAGGGTTGAATAGTGTGGAGCATTTATCGTATTATAGTCTAACAAAAGACAACAAGCTAAGTTAGTAGAGCTTTTACTGTGATGCTGCTGTTGCATATTTATTATAGACTTCCTGTATGTGTTCACATCAAGTCTGATCTTTTGCATGTTGACAGATATTATTTATTTCTGTTGGATCTACAAGACCTCAGGTGCCGTACTTGATCTTGTATCGCAGGTAAACATTGCAACAATAACGTGTAAGGGTTCAAAGGTCAAAAGTTTGTTGACCATACCCATGATCACATCTGGGTGTGGTCGTGGTGTGAAAAGAGCATGTCAATAGTGCTGCAGAGGCCCTGCAACAACACGTTGTTTGTCAAGAAATAAATCCAGTGCATGACTAAAGCCACAAGCTGTTTTCACAGATCTCTGTATGTACGGGTTAAAGAAACGTGACAGACGGCATTAATTAGTGAGCTCTAGAGGTGGGAGATGGAATTGTGATCTTTGGACAGAGCTATCCCTTTATGCTGAGCTAAGCTAGTTGTGTCCTGGGTCCATAGCTTCATATAATTTGCACAGACCACCTGAGAGTGTCTTAGAATTCCGAGTGCACACGAAATAAGCTTATTTCCCCAAATTTAAAAATATATAAATTCTTCATAAGGAAACAAAGAAAAAAGTAATTTCAAATTTAAGTTGACAAAGTAACCTCATCTCTAGATCCACGCAAGATTCTATTACAACATTAAAATAGTAGACTATTGGCTTTATGCTAAACTAAGCTAATTGTGTCTTGGCTCCAGCTCCACAGTGTTTTCTAAATGGCACAAACTTTTTGCAGTGCACCACAAGAAATAACCTTCTTTCCCAATATGACAAAGCTTTTGTTTTTATTGGACAAAAGTTGCAGAATTTTTTCAGATCAAGTTGACAGAACAACCTTGTCTCGTGGTCCATGCACCTATCAGAACTCCTAGACCTTGGTCATCAATGGACTGTCCATCGCTCCACGAATAATATTTCAAATAGGCAGTTTCCTCCAGATCTTAATAAGAACATGGCACTGTGTTGTTGCTTTTGTTGTGCAGGGTGCAGGTACACAGAGTTTTGACAGTAACATGAGTGATCTGGCTGCAGTTTCTCTGACCTCACTCATTATCCTGTCGAACATCCCACTTGCTCCTCCCAAACACAGCAGGTAGAAGGAGGAGCCCCCCCCCTCCGGTGTGTGTGCTGCACCTGCGCCCCGCCTGCCCTGCTCCCTCCCCGCCCACCGGCCTGATTCCTCCTCGTCATCGCTGATGCTTCCCGGTCGCGTTTCACTAGTCAAACGCCGAACGACTGCGCTTCTCCACCCGCCTCCGACACCACAACCAGCCGGTGTTATTTCAGAAGGACTCCCCTCTGCCTTTTTTCAACATGCGGACCGCCGAACGTTAAACACAGACAGTGAAAGCCGGGGTGGGAAATGCAGGACGACAGCGGCAAACCAGCACCCGGGAGTCCCGATGTAGTCATTGCGAACACGGCGCAGGTAAGGTGGTCTGGGTCTTTACCGCGGGGTCCGAGCCGCACACGGCCCATCTCCCTCTGTCTATGTGGGGGGGGAATTGGATGCGAGTTTGGGCTCTTTAGGCAACGTGGGTCCGTCTTTACGGGGGGGGGATACTGTTTCTCCTCCCGGAGGTGTTATGGTCATGGCAGGAAAGATACAGCACCTCCAGGTGAAGCCGTCCAACCTGTCCGTCCAGATAGCTCCAGGCTCAGGGCCAGTGCTCCAGCAGCAGCAGGGGCGGAGAGACGCTCTGTAGCCGGCAGAGGTGAAGCCTGAGGAGTCGGTCAGTCAGCAGATGCGTTACAGCAGAGTTTACACAACACCACTGGACCACAGGGTCACAGTGAAGAGGATCCAGATGTGATCCAACATCAGCAGAGCAAGATAGATAATACAAAAGATTTGAATCCCCAATAAATGTCTCTTTAGTTTCGTTTCGTTTTTAACAGATTTCTATGACAACTTAAATGATGTATTCGACACTATCATTTGTTATTTTGATTAATAGCTATTCCTCATAATTGCATGTTCAAACTGAAATATTCAATATAATTTAGTTATATATGTATGATAATGATGAGGATGATAATAATAATAACCTGGATTCATATAGGACCCTTAAAGTGTCCAAGACATCAAACTGAGAAAATAACAATAGCAATGCTGGAGATAATGAGTCTGTTGGTCCAAAACCCTGATGCGAGAACAGTTTTAGTTCTCAGTCTTTGCTGCAGCTCAGGAGTCTTGTTCAGCCCTCTTGGTTTACTGTAGGCGCTGTCATTGGTTGATCACCATCCTCTGTTATGTTTGTAGTTCTCTTTCAACACATTTACATTGTGACGTGCTTCAACTTCCTACTTCCTGTATCAGTGTCCCTGAGCCTCCAGCCTTAAACATGTTCAGATAAATGTTCCTTCTGTAGTGATTCAAGAATTCTCCGACACGTTATATCTCGGATAACTTGACTAAAACATAATTTTATTGAAATTCTGGTTCTTGTGTTTGTGTCACTGATGGCAATGACACAACAATGAATAGCACATAAAGCAGAAGAAGGTATGTTATGCTGATTAGACTTCCTCCTGCAAGCTGATGTGAGAGTTTACTTCCTCTCTTGTCTGGGGATCAATCAGCTACTGGAAGGAAAAAGGAAGAAGTAGTCCAGTTAATTGTTTTTAACAAATCAGACATACACACATACTGGGTGAACCTTAAACAAACTAATTTGACAGTTAAAAAAAAGGTTAACCTAATGTACCTCTGTAACTTGTCAAATATAATTGATTAACTCGCTATTGTTTAATTATTTGAATTATGGACGAATCACTGTTGCAATATTCTATATATACTGTATATCATATTTCACAACATCATAAAACAGGAAGATAATGGATTGATTCCAGATTTGTACTCATATCTATATTTCCTCTCTGATTTCACTCTCTTAATCTGCTTTTTTTCTAGAATTCAGTACATTTGAAAAGGCATAGCATCACTCAAAATGGCCACAGCGCCACAGCTGCACCTGCTCCACAGTTTGAATCCCAACCTCCAAGTCCTGTACTCAGTACGACCCCGACCATCCCGAGGGAGCAGTGGGGAGGGAAGTACGAGTTCCTGCTCTCCTGTATTGGATACTGCGTGGGACTTGGAAACGTGTGGCGGTTTCCCTACCTTTGTTACCGCAATGGAGGAGGTGAGTGGTCCACAAGCATGTCTGCTTCCTTCTGAAGTCTCAAATGCTTTGAATGCCAGGGTGCCCGTCTCTGATCATTTGTTACACTCATTTGGGCAAGAGGCACTCTTCGCTCTGCCCTTGGGTGTGCACCATCCTTGTAATCACGCTGGCTTAGTTTGCACACTCAGTCCTGGGCTGGCCATGGCAGCCTTTACTGGGAGCAGGAACACAAAGCATTTCCTAATCCTATAAGTAGAGACAGTGTGTTTTTCCTTGATTGCACACTAGACATGTGGTCTGGCTGTGTAACCCAGCCTCGTGTACTCTGCATCCTCAACTGAAATCAAACATGTCGGAGCTTGACTAACATTAAGCAGAATAACAGTCTGTGAGGCTGCCACATAGAGAGAAGCTGTATAAGTTAACCTGCCTCTACAGGCTTTCTGTTGGCTGCACAAACCAAATCATTACGGTAGATGTCTCCCTCAGCACCACCCTTCCTCATGCTAACCTATTCCTAATCTTCACAGGTGTGTTTCTCATCCCCTACTTCATTATGCTCTTTGTCACTGGTGTTCCACTCTTCCTCATGGAGCTGAGTTTAGGCCAGTACGGAGCAGCCGGCCCCATCACTGTGTGGAAATGCTGCCCTCTGCTCAAAGGTAATGATCTGCCCCGTCATGCTTTTTAGTGTGGTATTTATACACAGTACTTCTGCAACCTTGAAAACTGTTATAACTCTGTCAGCATGGTGATGTGAACACACAGTATGTGACTTAGTCCTCCATCGAAATAATGACAAGAGACATATATATATATTTTTTTTTATGTCCTGGTACCTGGAGTAAAACTGGGAATTTCTCTGGGTTTGAACATTGTTGGAAACATTTTGGATAATACAAGTACACAAGTCAACAACATATATAACTAATTGTATCTATATGAGTCACATATCATATCTTTAATGTGAGGTAATACTATATTCTAATTGAGAGTGTTGAATCGTACAACAACATCTGATCACACTTCTCCAGGAGTCTAACATATTTGTTCCAGTGTGAATGGCGTGAGCAGGAACTCGAGTTGCCATCAGAATACTTGTTTCACCAGTCCGACTGTATTGTCAGTGTACGTAACTGGCTGACTCATGGCATCTTGTCACATCTTATATACGTCATTTGGCCAATCCTAAACATTCCTCAGAACAATTCAACTCAGTTGCAAAATATAAATATCTAATAAAGAAACCTGTAAGAAGTCTCACAGCAAAAAAAAACCCCAAACAAAATAGAGCCAGAAAAGCAGGTTTTATCATCAGGGCAGTTTTTTACATTTGAACTGAAAATGTCAGCAGCAGCTTGGCAGATTGATTTATCCAAGTGTTAATAATTAATAAGTTATTTTTAACAGTACCAGCATCGAATACCTGGAAAACTCTTAATGTAAACTCTGAGGTGTTTATTAAATATATATTCTGTGCACGTATTTATATCATTGTGCAAGTACAGTTCCCACTAAAGGAAAGTATTAGTAGATATCACTGTAAGATAAAAGCTTCACCTATTTCTTTCATTTCACTTCTATTCACACAATTCAATGATATTTTGTATTGTCTGTGTTTTTATGAGATGTAAAAAGCTTCTGTCTTGTCCTTTCTCATAGGTATTGGCATTGGGATGCTCTGTGTGTCCACGCTGGTGTGTCTCTACTATAACATCATCATAGCGTGGACATTTTACTACCTGGGCAGCTCTTTCCAGAGCCCTCTGCCCTGGTCCTGTGACGCTTTGGCCAATGCAGGTCTCTGTGGTAACAACACCACTGGCAACAGCTCCACTGGTAAAACCCTCAGCCCCACCGAAATCTTCTGGAAGTAAGTGCAGTTTTTGCTCACTTACTCAACTCTCTTATTTTAATAAATATTTTGATACTGTTTCTAATGTAAATCTGCAGTATACTGTACTTCTTCAGACCATATTATGCTTTTTATTTTAAGAGAAATTCTTATATTTCAGGACAGATACATTTCTTTTTGTCAGACTTGTAAATTGCTCTGGCAGTACAAACACAAACCTTGTTCAAATATTTGACTTTTTACACCAAATGCCACCATTGTTTACAATGACTATAGAGTTAGATTGTCTCTTTTTCAGCTAACGTGACAAGGAACTTAAAGGCAAAACCTCACTGTTAATGATTCTTGGAAATATAACATTATGCTTTATAACAATCACAAAATACATAATTACAATTGGCAACACAGTCCTCTGAATGCCTCCTGCATGACGGTTGTGTGGTGTTGAAAACATGGTGAAAATGTTATGGTCAGCCATAGTACAGTGATATCAGCTTACTGTCTGCTGTGAGAGAAAGTGAGGCTTTACTGATATACAGCAAACAAACCAAAGGGCTCAGAATGAGGCCAGATGCAATGTTTGAGTCAGAAGTTTGTTTACACTATAACCAGAGGACTAGTTTCAAAAAGCCATGATGGGGTTTATGAGACTGAACTAGATGTTATTGATTAAAAATACCCAGATTCTTTTTTATCAAGAAATTGCATCAACGTTTCTCATAAAAGAGTCTTAAATAAAAAAAACTAAAACTTACAGTGGAGCATTTAGACAACAGGAGACATTTGCTCCTGCTGCTCCTGGGCTTCTTTCTCATTCTCTGCTCCGTGATGGTCCAAAGGGAATCTGCTGGACATATTATTACATAACCTGTTATAGATAAAGAACTCAGCAGAAACCATATCTCTACCAACTGTCTCCACATTTTTTTATCCACGAGATCCTGATTTTATTTGGATCTGCACCAAACTTTACATAAAATCAAACAAGTGCTACTCTCTTAAAACATTTATAGTTCTGGTCTAAAACAAATAAGAAGACAATAAAAAGAACAATATTATAATTGTATGAATCATGATCTTTTTCTTCAGGCTCATAAGTCTAGCCTAACAACTCTTGTTTGTTTTGCCTCAGTTAATGTGTATGACCTGTGTTGCAGTGAGCACGTGCTGGGTGTAGTACACAGCGAGGGCCTTCATGACCCAGGCCCGGTCCGGTGGCAACTGGCCCTGTGCCTCCTGGCAGCCTGGATCATCATCTTCCTGTGTATGCTCAAGGGCATCCGCAGCTCTGGCAAGGTGAATTTACACAACGTTTCTATTGTTAGTTCCCATGACACACACACACACACACAC